CTATCCAGTCAGTTCCCAGCCTGTCCCACTCTGTGGGCTTTGCATTTGCCTTTGCTGAACTTCGTGAAGTCCCCCAGGAGCTGATTTTTCCAGTCTGACTAGGTCTGTCTGAGTAGCAGCCCTGCCTTCCAGTGTATCAGCCACTCCCCCCAATTTGGTATCACCCATAAATGTGCTGAGAGGTCACTCTGTCCCATCATCCTGGTCATTACATCAGCCATTTCAAGAATCCAAGTTGATGTAATCTATATAGAAAAAGCAAGTCAAATATCCTTCCAGAGAGATGCTGGAGACTTTAAATTTTCTTTTAGAAAAATGCACACATTGCATTGCCAAGTATTTTTTTTTTCTCAAGATACAAAAATAAGAAGTAGCCCTAGGTTCCACAAGAAGCAGGCCTTGGGTCTTTTTTTGGGTGTAAATGCCAAATGTAAAACTTGATTTAGAGAGCGCAAATCTTCTGGAAGGCAGAGATGACTGTCAGAACCTAAGAAMTAAGCAAGCTGCAAGTTATTTATAGAGTCCCTCCCCAGCATCTCCAGTGTGTGCCTTTGCTCAGAGACAGGCAATGGATTTCCATGCCATAAAAATGCATAGAACTGCGTTAGTATATATGTGGTGTTCTAAGGATGTTCATGCAACCTTGTCACCTGCCTGGGTGATTGTATGAACGGGACAGACCCTGTGTTAGCAGCTGTTTCACTTAAGGAGGAGAGTGGAGAATGGGGAACAGGAAAACACCAAAACCAGAAGGATGAAAGAAAAAACTGTAGGAGCAAATCAGCTCCTCTGCAGACATTATAGCCAATTTCAAGAACATTTCTGTAAAACAACCTTTCCAGCACACACCTGTCTGTTATGGGCAGTGACACATAGCATGGTGTTTTTGCAGCATGGACAGAGGAACATTGCTGCCAAAGGGCATGTAAAGGACAATGCTACAGACACGATTCCAAAAATTCTCTCAAGACATATTGTACTACTCATAGATTATAACCAGAGACATCACACGTTACACTATAAGCTGGTATAGTGTTAAAGTTGGATTTTGTTCTGTATGGTAGAACTGGATTTCAGATAATACATACACATTGCAAAATACTATAAAATGGCTTAGTAGAATGTTTTCTAATATTCCAAAGTCTCTCCAAACTTTGTTTTATAACTCTTGTACATTTTGGGACAACATCTTCAAACAACATGGGCTGAAGAAAACATTGGTAAACAGGAAGCATTGGTTGTGAAAAGGAACTAAGAGAAGATGGAAGGACATGAAAGTAAGGAAACMCAGCCAAAGCTCCAGACATGGGAACAAAGGCACTGAATGTTTCCAAACAAATATTCAGATCATTAAGGCTGTTTGGTTTGGTATTTTGATGAAGACAACAACAATAAAGAGGTTGTGTACTACTTGGATATTCAGTATCTGAAGGAACATACACTTGYAAAGGATATATTCCAGACAGAACCTGTGCCCCTGTCCAATGTTAAAGAAAATGTGGGATAACTCTGAGACATTTACCAAGTRTAGTAACAAGTAAACACAGTCATTTGACTTAACTGCTGGGAAGCAACTCTTCAGTTCTAATTATTCTCCTGCCCTCACAGTAAGGCATGTGCTTCTTTCTTTATTTTCCTCCAGGAGTCAGTGCCACAGAAGAGCCCAATCTGGGACTTAATCTAGGATGCAAAACATCAAAGTTCTGTTTCCCAGCTCTGCTATAGCCATCATAAAGCTCCTTAAACAAATCATCCTGCCTCCATTCCCATCTCTAACAATGAGAAAATTATTTCTTTCACCATTCTTTATTAGTTCATTAATTTRGTGGGGCAGCAAGTATGTCCAATGGCTTAATTGCCATATGCTTAATGCTGCAGGATCCTAAGTTTTTAGGGCTTTGCTTAGACACCTACAGACCCTAGTACTTCTTTACTCATCAGTGACACAACAGCTAAATGCAGAGTAGATATAAATTTGACCAAGGTGGGTGTCATACTTTTTTCATTTCTCAGGAAAAATAACTGCTCTTACTAAATAAAAAAATTTAATGGARCTATTATTAATTCAAAAATACAGCTTTTCAGCTGTTTAGTCAGCAGTAAATCTGCTGTTTYATTGCTCTCAAAATCACTACCTTCRCCTGATCATAGGGTAGTGRGTAAATTGCACTTATATTAACTATATTTTAGACCAYTCTAGCACTTTCCATAAACATTTTAACATTTTGGGTTAATATACTCTGTCATTTTCCTGCATGTACATAACCATGGACAYCAAGAAATGAGGTTTTTAGAACTCACTGAACAAGTGTGCCAATAACACTGTTATGCTGTGAGAATGTATCCCAGTACAGCCATGCATTTCGATTATATTAATCTGTTTCTCAGATTTAAAAACAACTTCATTAAAACAATCATAAGGCATATGCAGCCTTGTTTGAGAAAGTATATTTGAAAAGCAAATGCTTCTCCCCGCCCCTGCACAGCTCCAGTTGACAGACAGGACTCATCAGGAAGAGGGAAATTGCCATTTGTCACATATGACTTAGGCCAGTTTCCAAATGCTTCAAATAGAAGAAAAGAAACACTAAAAAAGAAATGTGACAGGTCTACACTGCMACATAAGTTTTAAATTAAAAATTGTAAGGGAACTAAATCTAATTAAAATATTGCTCTCATTGCATTACTCATTGCAATCCATATGAACTTCTAATCTGTTACAAGTATATTTTTATAGCCATATGACATGACAATTAACTGGACAATCTATCTCCCCCTAGGTAAAAGTATTTCCTTTTATTAGATTTCTTTCCCTCTCACCAATTTCACTCGATGTGCTCCTTTGAACTTTTACTACACTCATGGGAATCAGAATCATGACTTGCATTCCTTACTTCATCACTGTATACAGTTCTTGTCCCTACGTATCTTTGTGTATTTGCTGATAGCAGCAGCTGTACTCTGAACATTTCAGTCTCATTTGATTTTTCAGTGGTTTTAAGGTTACTTTCCTCATAGAAAAACATATCAGCTGCACTAACACATTGCATCAGTCAGCCTCCTGAAGAACAACATGAATGTAATTCATCTTGCTCCCTTGGATACTGTTTTCATTGTCATATGSAATGGTATGCTGGATGGGATACTGTTCAACTGGAAGTTTCATTAAACAACTCTYGGACACCATTAAAATGTTCTAATAGGTGTGACTTATTGACCGGAAGAGTCGGTAAACAAATGAAGTATAAGTGACAGTACGAGACCAGAGTAACAGTAATTAGCRATGTGACTCCATGAGTAATAGGAAAATTGCCCTGACCCAGTTGATGGCAATGGCAACGAAATCTTTTTAAATTTTTTTAAAAAATTTAAAATCCACAATAGATGGGTCTTCTACCAACACTTATCAGGGTCATGGGCAAGATTTCTGGTTGCCACACAACCCATTTGGCTAGTATTGCACTGCTCCTGTGTTGGGACACACAGTGGTGGATGTGCTGCCTGTATTGGCCAGAGCCAGGCGCAGGTGAAASAGAAGGATGGGCTGGCAGCATCGCCTCAGCACACTGTACCTGCAGCTGCCTGGCACACATCTGCAGGGCTGCCTGCTACAGGTCTGCAGGGTATCCTGTGTCCACAGGACYCTCCAGCAAACCTCCCCTCTTTGCAGAGAGCACAAGCACTCGTGTGGGAGCCCTGCTGGCTTCTGCTGTGTCAGGTTCTCACTGTCACCCTCTGCCTTGTCAAGCGCCACACGCAGTCCTGGCTGAGCTGCCACACCTCTGCTGCTGTTCTGCACACTCTTGCACAAAGGACTGCCAGCTGTACAAGGGCATATCAATATCCTGATGTTCCACATTTATCCCACGCTACCCTCACTTCAGTGCCAACACAAACATTTCAGAGAGTTTGGATTAATGAGAGCATAACGAAAACAAATCTGATCTGTCTGTGCATGCTTTTTATCTGTTGGAATCACACCACATRTGATTTTCTACCTCTCCTGAATAAAGACGAATGTTAAAACACAGAAATGAGAGCATTTTAATGCAAAAGTAGAATTATCCTTCAAAAGATTTTATTTCTTTGATGAAAATATCATTCACAAAATGATATCACTCCCCCACCAAATCACTCCCCCACCAAAACTACCAGCTGCTCTCAAGTAGTACATGGCCAAGAACAAGTCCTTGGTAAGTTCCATAAAATAAACTTTAGTTTTATTTCTCTAAGACAAGACACACGCACACAAAATCAATTCTCCAAATTTCAGGGCTCCTGATTGCTTGCATAACTGACAGGAAAYGCACTGGTTTTATTATTAATGCACTAAAAGTGCAATAGTAAAAGGTCTGAAGAAATACTTGCAAAGCATGAGCACAGAAAAAAATCRCTTAAAAGCAAGTGGTATTGTCTGTGTGTTGAGAGAGGCAATGAAACTGATTGTAATAAGGCAYCTAGTTGTAGTTTGTACAAAATAAYACAAGAGTTGGAAGGGGAAYGCAATAAATATGCAAATATTATACAGTGTACAACAAAATACTCACTTTGAGACTCTATTTTCTTTGAGGTACAATTAAAAAGTTTTTATCAAACTCCAAATATCTGTAACCAGTTTAGCAGTTGGTTGTTCTTTAGTCATCCAAGGAAAGGAGCAATCAGTAGATGAAGTCTGGCAGATGCAGACTCCAGATAGAACCCATGTCTCCAGCACTGGTTATAATTAACACTGGACTAGCTCACAATACAGTTCCTGCCTTAACTCTTCAGACCTAGATTAAATTACCTAGGAACGACTGTAATTGGAAAAGAAAATATAGCTACCCGAGCAGGAAGGTGTGGAGGAGCGGAAAGGCGGCCCCATCAGAGCCCTGCGGGGTGTGCCCCCCTGTGCCTGCCCCGCGCTCCGCTGCCCGAGTGACAGGTCCCAGCTCTCCTCGGCTCTCCCAGCGGCAGCTCCTCCCTTCTGGCCAGATGGACAGCACAGCTCGGTCTGGGGCTCCGGCTCCAAGGGACCTGGGCAGAAAGCAGCCTTTTATAGCCGGCACTCCGCCGCCCCGGCTCACACCTACACACTGCGCTGCCGAGCACGGCGCCGCTGCCGGGACCCGCACCCCCGCCCGCCGCTGCCCATGGCGCCGCTGCCCCCGCTCCTGCTGCTGCTGCTGCTGCTGCCGGCGGCCGGTGAGTAGAGCCGTACGGGGCCGGGGCTCGGGACACTCACGGTCAGACAAACGGCCCCGTCCGCGGCGCCTCCGCGGGCTCTGCTGGGCGCGCTCCCGTGCCCGGAGCCGGCCGGATGGGGCTGGGCAGCGTCGGGGGGCAGAGGGGAAGAGGGGTAGAGAAAGGAGCGTTCGGAGAAACACTCGCGGGAAGAGCGTGTCTCACTGTCACTGTGACAGGTGTCACAGGCGCTTGTACACGGCTGGGTGGAACTCACCCGGAGCAAACCCCGATCTGCCGCTGACAGCGGCGGCTGGAGCTGCCCCGACAGCCCGGCCGGTGTCCGCCCGCACCTGCACACGGGAGCGGGGCTGGAGGGGCTCTCATTATTTCTGTAAAGTTCATCAGTAATAGCCAACTCTCTACTAACGAAGTTCCATGTTCCAAACCAGTTTGCAGCTTGCACGTGCAATAACAATCTTTCTATAAAGCCAGTATCTTTACCCCCACTCTTCTCCGGGTATTGGGGTGAGCTGTCGCGGAGCACTTGAGTTACTAAGCAGTTCAGAAGCAGGATTTGCTGGAACTGAGATTGCCTRCAAAACCCTAACTGGGTTATTCTGAAAAATGAGTCAGTCTTTATGAATAAGTTATGATGTGAGAATATAATTAAAGGACCCCTGCCTCATACCTTCATACAGCCAATTACTCACTTTGCAAATATTTAATTATTTTTTTTTTCGTCTCCTACATCCTATTTATTAAGCAGTATTAAAGAACATTTGGAACAATTCACAGTCCATTTCTTCATAGGTTTTCTRAGTATTAATCAGTATAGTATCTGAACGTACTCATTTTTCTAAAACTATATTATTGTCCCTCTTTTTCAGATAGGTAGGTGRGCTGACACAATAAAGCATCCTCTAATTTTAGGTTTCCATGGTGACATGATAGAATCCAATTTTACCGACAACTCCATAAAATTATGTGGAACTTCAGCTGCTCAAAAAGCCTGGTTCCGAGTACTGTGGTAGTTTGGCACTCCGACCCCAGGATATTCAGCAGGTGGGGAGCCTACTGTTAGTAAACATCAACAGGCATTGTTTTAAAGTGATTAAATTAACCTCATGCTGAACCTTTTGACTGTTKTAAGGATAAAATCCTAGCTTCCAGAATAGCATTCAGCTGCCTTAAGTAAAAGATTCCCATGCACTATATTTTAAAACATTCCTACACGGCTTGCGAATTCAACACAGCAAATCTTGCAAATAGCAGGATTCTAAGGAAAAGAGCCTCAATTCATTCTTAGAACAGATTCTGGGCACAGAATRAAGCAGGATCTGGGAAAAAGGCAGTCGCGTGATTAAAGCCCATAAGGTAAGGTGCTTGCATAATGGGGCCAACTTAGGGCCCCTCCAAGCTCCCTGCCCCAATTCTGCTTCCTGACCTCAGATTGCCCCTATGATTCCTTCTGCATTTTGATCACCCTCCAGACTTCATCCTTTGCATGGCACAAACCGCAGCAAGAACATTAAGGAAAGCCATGAAATCACTGCTCCTGCCAGCCTGGAGTGCTCATTACAGAGAGCCAGGCTGTGCTCTGATAGCTCTGAGTCAGGCACCTCAGTCASCCACCCGTGGGCAGTGAGGAGCATGGGAAATGCAATTTATGTTTCTCAGTTGGTCYGAAGTATCGATACAGGCAAATTCAACCTTTCCAAAAATTTACATGTGGTCAGAGTTTGTAGAGATGGCACCTAAATAGGCTGGGCTATAAAATGAGGTGGGAAAGGCTACCCCTGATGGCTTAGGAAACAAGAGGTAAAAATCTAAGCAAAGATTAAAAAGTTTCTATAAGGTAAACAGTTCTTTTTGCAAGATCTGGGAGATGAATCATAAAGCCYGATTATTCCCAAGTTTCAAGTTCCGAACTACTGGAGCACTATGACTGCACAGAGATATCCCTATAGGAAATATTACACATATTTAACATCAAAAAATGTTTCTGTTGCCTCAGTCTTTGAAAGAACRGCTTAAAAATTCTTTTAAAATCCACAAAGCATCATACACTGTGTTAGATGCTAATAAGATAGGTATCATAATTATGCAAATTTGTATATCTCAGTAAAAATATGAGTATCCATCTGGAAAAATAATCATTATCTTTACATTGAGCCCATTGCAAACAGGAAAAGATAGGAAATATGACTTTTCACAAAAAAACTTAATATGATTCCAATGTTTTTCACCTCTCCACAAATGGAAATTTAAGGGAGTGGATTTTAAAAATACTCTATAAAGCAATGAAATTARGCTCAATCTGGCTCACTCCCTTTTCCCCCACCTACTATGTTGTGTTTGACAGAGCCACACACAATCTGCATGACAAAACCCAAAAAACAGAGTAGACAATGAGGGACAACACTGCTCTTTCAGGAATGCAAATTATACTTGATTTTCTCAGGTAACAGAAAGTTCATCACTTCTACTGGTCATAGATTTAAATCAAGAGACTGGGAATTGTCCAAAGTTAGCAAACAATTCTCTGATGAAACCAGGAATATGACTTGGAAATCCTCGTTTTCTTCTTGACTTGTAGCTCTCCTACAACAACCTTCTGTAATTGTGGGGAACTGAGACACAATGTCAAAAYTGTCACTCTTTTCAGAATCACCAGGGTCATGCAGAGGAAACCCAGTTTTCCATTAACCATGGTTCCTTCAGATATTACTAGCTGTCTCCAAGAGTAACCCTTACTCAACATTGAAGAACATGAGCTGTTGTCATTTGTCATGCTGCAGCCTTATTGCAATGATTTTTTCAGCTCAGAATTCACTGAACCTGTACCGACAATGAAGATAACACTTTCAATGCTATCATAAAAATAATTTTTTAAACAAATGGATGCTTTWGCTGCCCAGAACCAAAATATAACACTCACCATACAGGTTGTATTCTGGAACAGGGGCCAGGCACAACAGATACTATTCCCTATCATAGCAAGGAAGTTGAGTGCCAACTCAGCAGTTTTGAAATGAATGYAATCGACTACTGAGCAAAGAAGCTTTTCTTAATTCCTCAGAATGTGCTTGCTTTTAATCAATAAACAAAGCTGCATGTGCAAGCTTAAGCACYCTTGTTTCAACACTTCTCTCCCTACATCACATGCCCACAAAGCAGGAGGGACAAGATAGGGGAGTAGTCACCAGACAGAAAAGTACAAAATGTTGTCTCAGGATTCTTTCTAAAGTGTTCTTTTACCATTATCAAACACAAATCAATTACATTTCTTAATGAGGTGATTTCATGGGGTGTTTAAATTCCATTCTTTCATGAAATTAAAAGTGCCAGAGGTCACCAGCATCCCACGCATTTCAAGTTACTCAACTGTGCAGATTTTCCATTAACTGATTATAGTTAATAATATAATCCTTTATAATATAATCTATTACAAAAGATTACTCTATTAGGCTATTATAATAGACTATGTGATTATACAGATTATATAAAACTGCGTAATCATATAGTTACTTTACATGTAAATAAAAATCAAAGCCTTCACCAACAAAGTCTGAGTATCTTTTTCTGTTGTCTGTCTCCCTCACAGGTATTATCAGTTATGAAATCTTAATGTCTTTTGCAATCTGTAACCAGTACTGGGAGTTTAGGTTTATAAAGTGTTCTCTTAATACAAAAATAAATAATTAGTTTAATTAGTAAGAAACTCTAATCAGAAACCGTCCACTAATTTGTTGTGTAGTCATTCAGTTTCTTAAATTTTGCTGTGAATGACTTGTAGCCTGTACTGCAAGGAGAGGCTGTCCATTACCACTAGGGGTCTTCAATGTGTTGGTTCAGCCTGCAGGAGGACAAGAATCCCTTAAAATATGAGAATCCCTTAAAACATGAGATAATTAAAATATGGTTCCTAAAGAAAGTTTTGTTCTGGAGAAATAATAGTGAGAATCCCTTAAACAACAACCCTCAACGCAATTAAACAGAAAAATAACCAAACCCCTCCTTTCTTCTTTCCCCAGAAATTACTCCAAGCGTGCACCYATTTCCCTGCTCTACATCCACCACACCAACCACACCAGTAATTTGGCTGCTCTGTCTAAAAATGAGGAAAACCAGAACCCTACAATAAAGGACCTATTTGTTCCAATGTAAAGCACTACATTCTACAAAATAACATGGGCAAAAATACACGTTATGTTAAGGAGAAAGCACTGCAGCCCTGGGGCAGCTAATTTTAGCAGATGGGTCTGGGCTACAGAACATTCTGGCCCTCACCAGTTTGAGGAATGGAAATGACTGGAATCTCTCTCCATGGGAAGAAACAACTGCAGCTGCTCTCAGTGTTCAGTATTCTGCTCACTGTGGACTAGGGAAAAAGGGACTGGGTCRGGCAGCATGGCCCCAAAGTGTGAAAAACAAAATTGTATTATTGCAAGTCCTGTCTTTTATTATAAATTCTTTAAAAAACCCAAACAATCATGACTATTTTCTATTTGCTTGCTGGATTCAACAACAGTTTTTTTGTTTTTTTTTTTTTCCCCACAGTTTATAAAGGCACTTTTGGGGAAACACATTTGAGAAATCGAAGAGGAATTCTGGAATTAGCTGGAGCCATCAAATGTACCACAGGGCGCTCTCCTTTTGCCTACCTACGCTATGGATGCTACTGTGGCCTGGGAGGAAAAGGATGGCCCAAGGACAGAGTAGACTGGTGAGAGTAACTATTTATCTGAGTAATTAAGTGCTGAATGCAGATGACAGATAAAAGGACTAAAATATAAACTAGGCCTATTTAATATGAGAGGGAACAAACATACATACCTCAGATTACTAAGAAACTGTGAAGCATTCAAATGGTATTTCTGTAGATCTACATGATCTTGGCTTTAATTCAAACTCTCATTGCATTGATAAAGGATTCACAGTACAACTGASTTTCTTTGCTGTTGCTGTTCAGCAAAGAGCTAAACAGCTAAAGCCTCGATGAAGAAGCTTTAAAGCTCAAACATTGAAGTAAAATGTTTTTTAAAAAGGCAATTAAATATCTTGATTTTACTATCTTCCATGTTATCAGTATTCAAAATAATACACAAAAAATTATGCAAAATTTAACCGGTTGAAAAATAAGAACGATTCTAAAACCCAAACCTTTCCATTTAGTACTGAATYTCAGTATACTGACTATCATCCATGTAATTTAGAATTAAACATTGGCTGACAAGAAGATGATTTTCTAGATTTTTATCTGGTTTTGTTTGTTTTGTTGTCGTTGTGTGATTTGGGATCTTAAAAAAAAATTCTATGCATGAAATGGAGTAATTAAGCTATATTGTTCAACTGTTATGTACCACAGGATCTTTACACAGGGATTTGTGGGGAATGACCAAGTAATTACTTAATAAGCATAGGAAAACAGTAATTGCTAAGTGAGAGCTCACTGCACTAACTTTTCCTTTTGCAGACACAATTCCACAGGTAACTTAAACACCATCTAAACCATGTGCCTACTGTAATATGACTGTTTTAGGGTACCAGGAGGAAACTGAATGAATGAATGAATGAATGAATGAATGAATGAATGAATGAATGAATGAATGAATGAATGAATGAACGAACACTTTGTGGCTACACCCTTTCCTTCCACCAAGTCAAAAAGAAAGGCTGTAATTAGTCTGCAGCAAAAATGTACGAGCTGCCTATTTCAGGTCCTTGTTACCTCCCCTACTTTCTGTCCTGGGCTTACAATGATTCTGTACCAGAGACACTACACCAGCATATTTTAAAATGCCTTTTAAAAGCATTAAAATGTCATTAAAACTTTTATGTACTGTTCAGTTTCACAATGTCATTAAAAGTCTATACATTTTTGTGCCAGTTATGACAAGAATTATTTTGAAATAATAATTATRAACAATTTTCCAAATTTCTGATGATACTGAGCTAACAGTTCTTTWTGAAGGGGCTAGGAGAAAGACATATCCACGTAACACTGAAAATGCTTTGAAGATTCAACTAGCTCAATGTACATCAGACATTCTTCTCATCATTGATTTCATGAAAAAGTARTAATTTTTTTCATGTAATGTATTAAAACATTATCCTGGTTTTGTTACTGAGCAGTTAATGTTTGTATACTCACTGAGTTGACTGTTTTATTATTCCATAGCTATAGTAACCCACTGATAAATCTCCCCCTGATTGTATGACCATAAATGACCTTTTCTGTTGCTCTCAGGTGCTGCTTTCACCACGACTGCTGCTATGGTAGGGCAGAACAAGCAGGCTGTCAACCAAAGACTGAAAGTTACCACTGGGAATGTGAAGACCATTCTGCTGTGTGTGGTGAGTGAGCACTTGGAGGGTTTTGGTGTTGGGTTTTGGGAGTAGGTTGTTTTGTTTGTTTCTTACTTCTACTGCTTATCTAATTAGAGAGGTATTTTCTTAATTAATTATAAAACTCTGAGTTTACCATCGTTACTTTTGGTGACTTTTTTTGGCCAGGATGCACTGTGCCTCAAGAAAGCACAGCTACACCAATCAGCTAATGCAGTTTCTTCTTCTTAATYCTTCCCTACTGACTGACATAAGCAAACAAAACTCATCTACAAGTGTCTATTACCTTTTCAGAAAAMACAACCAAAATCCTCCTTTTACTCAGCACTGACAGTTGTTGAGGAGCCCATGTTATGCTACTCCCTGCAAGTCTCCAGCTGGAGAGCAATGACTAACAGGAGATGAGAAAATTGTAACAGTTTATAGAGGATCTTTTCCCTGCTTAGCAGAAAATATTTCCCAGCATTTGTAAGTTTATAATTGACAAGTTTTGGGCATATTTACTCCATATCAATTGCACTGATGGCTGCAATTTATGAATGAATTCATAATTACAGTTTACAATTTCAAACAATGAGGTTATAAAATACTTGATGAGTATGCTTATTTCTGGAAGTTAAATTAACAAATACTGATTTGAAAATATTTATATAAGTGAACAAATTGGAACAGATTGCTGACCACATCCTGATATGTTTTGCTTAATTGTTCCAAAATGTACTTGCCATGCTGAGGTAAAGCAAGGACAAAAAGATCTCAAAGAAAAAAATTGCAAAAAATGGTTAACAGGAAAACCCAGCTCTTCTTTTACGTTATTTGTTCACAACTCCCAAAGCTTTAGCAACTGTTCTCCAGTCAACCTCAAAGACTCATTGAAACTGTAACTTTTCACAAACCCCCGACATTTACAGGGCTTTTTTTCTTGTTACATTTTTTTTTTTTATTTTTTGTATGTTGTTTGGGAGTTGGTTTGCTTGTGCTGTTTTTAAAATCAGATGCTAGGTCAATTACTTTGCATGTAATGTTAAGGTTCTCCCTAGCATGCAAATCAGCTTGAGAATTGGTTATAATTTGCACTACAGAAATGCAAAAACCCTTCATAAACTTGTTCAAAACAAATCTGAATTTTTGACTACCATGGTTTAAAGGCAACACAGTTGGCCATTCACAGAGAACATAAAAACATCTCCTTTCATAACTCAATTTAAAATTTGACTGACCTGAAAACAAATGAAAGTTTTTACATTACTATCTTTCCTCCTTTGCATTCAACCTCTACTTTGCCCAAGTATCTCCCTCATTCAGAATCTCTACTTGCTCTTTTTTTTTTTTTTTCTTCCCCTGTCCCAGACGGACAAAGCATCTTCTCTCTCACACTAATTAATCACATTACAGTCCACTCTTATTTGGCTGTGGAGATTCTGATCCTGACAATATTTAAAATACTGGCCAAGGCAGCAGGCATGTTGTCAGGAAACAAAGTCCCTGGCATCATGGAGAAGATAAAGTCTGGAGCAATACCAGGAGAAACACAGAAGAAGGAATAGTTGTGAGTTAACATGTTTTGATTTTGTATCCTCTCATGTTGTTCATGCTACTTATGCTATTGAGCAGCTCTTAGGGTAGCTAGTAGCAGCATAAACATATATACATTAAGAACACTTCCATTTCATGGCAGAATTTGAGTTCATTCACAAAATGGAACACTTGTTCTGCTCCTGGACAAATCTCAAACAGAGATTTGGCTAAGCTTTTAAAATGGTAAACACTCAGACAAAATGTAATCAAGGATTCTTCAGTTTACAGACAGTTACAGAGAAAAAAACCACACACTTCTGGGTTGGCACACTGAAACCAAAATACGTTGCTGTAGAAGAAAATGTTCATGCCAAGAAGAAACGCTCATGCCAAGAAATCTGTTAAGTTACAACACTACAATTATAAAACAAAAACATGACAAGACATGGATTTTATCACACTTTATCACACATTTTACCTAACTTCTTACTGAGTGCCTTAATAAAAAAAGGTGGGCAATTTAGGCTAGACATGGAACTTCTTTGCATGCCATGTATATATCCCATATATAATTTTTAATGCTCTATCCTTTAATAGATTAAAGGGTATGTGAATGGAAATATCTTCCCAAAGTCAAGTTCAGAGCAAGAGGGCAGGCAGGGATGGTCACATACCACTTTCTACAGAGGGCTCAGTTATCAGAGTTTCTCTATTTAAAAACTTGAAGAAAAGCATTTAAGTCTTTATCTGTCTTTTGTATTTTTACCTGCCAAGACCACTGATCACTGGCTGAACCATGTTTTCAGTTTTACCAGAGCTCACAACAGTTCCTATTGCATTTGAAATCTAAGAGGCATTTTTACAACAAATATGGAAGGTGAGGGAGCAATTCTTGGTATTCCATTCAGTATTTTTAATTTCTTCAGACTAAWATCAAACTTACTGTGTTTTCTTTCAGACTCACTAGAAGATAAATGTCAAAGAATGGCATGTGAATGTGACCGTGAAGCTGCCAAATGTTTTTCTAGAGCTCCCTACCATAGAAAATACCTTTTGTGGCCAGATTTTATGTGTGGTGACATTCAGCCTTTGTGTAGGTATTAGACATATGATGCTGATGTATTTAAATCTAAAATGACTTTTTGTCACAGTAATGACAAGAAATGATTTTCCCCTTTCTTGATATTTCTTCATGCCACCTCCTCCTCTTCACCCCAGAATGGCCAAAGTAAACACTTTTCCTCTTATTTACCTTCTCCAGTGCATTTTTATTGACTAAATAGAAATCTGAGTTTATCAGTTTAAGGAGTACCTAACAACATTCATTTTGTTTATATTCAGATTCACAGAATCATTCGCTGTGAGCTTTTTATCCCCCTCCACTGGGGGATAAGGTACAAATCAAACTTCTCCACAAATGTTTATCTTMATATTTACTAACTTTGAACTGACTAGAAAAAAAAGCATAAAGTGATAGTGACAGCACAAAGAGCCCTCTCATCTACATTAAACACTTTYCATAAAACCTAATTTAACTGTTGTATCTCATTCACCTTAAGTAATGCAGCCTGCATTAAAGAAGGCCTAAAATAATTTCTTTTCTCTAGCATTTACTTTCTCAGTGGTTTTCTAAACAGCTGCTTATTTAATATGGCTCAAGCTCCTTACYCTATGTACATTCTGAATTTCCTGTAAGCACAGGGAGTTCTCCCCTTAGAACTTTAGAGCCAGATCTAAAAATGCAAAATGCAAATGCAAACCATCACCAAAACAGGACATGAAAAAAWGTAGAATTTGTTGGGACCAACTGGCTTTGCCACAAGTGTTTGATCCTGGACAGCAAGAGTTCATGAAGTTCAGAAGTGTATAAACCTCAGCAGGATGTAAAGATGATTTCACCTAGGGTCACTCTGTAGACTTTTTTTATCTTTTGGGAAGAGAAAACTACCATGAATTGCTGATAATACACTGGTTTGTAAATGCTATTTTAACAGTTAYAGAGCCAGCAGTGTTTTATGTTTACTTTCACCCACCTCAACGCACTCAAAGATGTAGGGCTAGAGAACAGGTTTGCACAAGTTAAAGCTAATGACATGTGCTTCCATAAATCAAAACCCAAACAAAATAACCCACCTCTATAGCAACAGTGAAGATTTCCAAAGAGATCTTTAATCTTGAAAAACATTCATAGGCAAATTTAGTTCATATTACTGACACAAATGAAATAAACAAAATAACAAACCAATGCAGAATGCAAGGGGACAAAGCTTTCGAAAAATCTTAATTTTTGCTTTAGTCAAAAGAACATACATTAACAAATGTCAATCTTGCTTACACAAAATAACTTTCCAGGCAAGATTTGCTCACAGATATAGATGCACACATTATATTGCTGTAAGTAATTACAGTGTCAGGTCACTTTTCCAAAATAATCCTTTTTAAGAGATAACCCTGAATTTAAGAATTAGCAGCAGAATTCCAGAGGAGAGAATTAAAGGAGCTAATGATGTTGTCTAACTGATCYGAATAAAAAATTTTGTATGGTAATCACAACATTTCCCAAGACACAAGAAAAACTCAAGCAGTCTTTGTCTTCAACTACAGGAATTTTAGAACAACCTCTACTGTGAGACTGTGTATAGGGCTGTCACAACTTTACATGTAAAGAAGAMTGAAATAAATGAATTACTTTCAATAACAAGCCTATCCAGGAAGGGCATTCCTTTGGCAAACTTCAGTTGAGGAACACATTGCTCAGGTATGAAATGCTAAGTTTAAAAGGAAAAGAAAAAAAAGGAATCACTGTAGCAGTGCAGAAGACACCGRTTTTAAGGCAGGCTTGAAAATACACAGAATGCTCAGGACAGAATAAAGAAGTTTATCTGATCAAAAATAGGGTACAGGAATGTGTATTTTTGTTTTCAAGAGAAAATTCAATTTTCCTTCATCCTTCACTTTGGAATCGGCTGAGTTAAGTTAAGAGTAACTTACCTTAAAGCTTTTTTGTATGGTTAAATTAACATAATCCACCATTTTCACTAACACATACATAAAGAAAAGCAAAGTTTATTCAAAATGTCCATTTTTAGAAACTAAACAGCTCAAAAGTTCCAACGCCAATCATTGCACTTGTGTCTCCAGACGCCTTATCTCTGTAACCACAAGATCAATGTTTATAATTGGGTTAAAATACAAGGCCCAGTAAAACAAACAATTGCAGACAAACTGAGGAATAAAAGGCCAAAAAATGGCAACAAAAAGTCCCTGGGTTGAGACTTTCCAGAAATGTCTCCACATTCTGTGAGGAATAGTCCTGTGAAAAAGGAAAGGGAGAGGCTTAGAGGAACTTTTTGGTTTGCTTTTGCCTGTTCAAAGAAAAGCTAATAKGTGCTGCAGCTTTAAAATACTTAGCCCTTTCTCAGCTACCTGTAAAAAACACCATTTTGCACTCCAGGAAAAACTTTCTTGAAACCCGGTAGTACCAGATTTAAAGAGGAAGCACTAAGTCAGTGCACTTAGACCCCAAAGTCCAGCAGGTGCCACTGCCATGCCAGCTCCGCCTCAGCTTATCCCKGTGCTGTTCTAGGCACGTTCTGCCCTCTATCGGCTGGCAGAGGGAAAACCCACTACACRCCAAAACAAGAATTTCTCCCATTCAGCTTCCAAAATCTGGGAACAACAGATCACGCCAACTGTGAAGTAATGTATGCTGAGGTAGTAACAGAAACCAGAAATTTTGAYAAATTATCAGAACCAGTATCAGTATAACTAAACTTATTTATGATTCTGAGCACTCACCCTGTGCTAACTATACTCTAAGCATATCATGACCAAATTCTGTTGTATTTATTTCTCAGCTGACAGCTGATGCCAGGCTCTATAAGAGGCAGTTCTCAAGGTAAGGGTTAATATTTCCAGTGGTTAAGAACATGCTTATTACTGTTTCTGCATTTGCTRCATCTGCTAAGTAAAAGCAGCTGTAAGAAACCCTTGACAGCATGCACAGAAATAAAAGGTATCYAAGAGCAAGCAGTAGCATATGTTGGAATTCAGACTCCCATGTTGTTATTAACCTCAGAGTTCAGGTTAGACACTGTCATTTCAGTAAGCAACTGTGAAATTTTAAGATTCTTACTTTCTCTTTATAAGGCCACGTACCTCCTTACCCTCTTAAACAAGTTCAGTAAGACTTACTTCAATTCTCTTCTTGACCAGAGCCTCCAAAAGGAGAAYAATTCCAAAACAGAGAGCAACATGGCATTTACAATTATAAATCTTGATGTCCAGTAGTGCACATCTAGCCAATCCCAAGCAAATTCAGCTATCAGCTGGTATGGCAAAAATAAATACTTTACAACGAATTCTCTCCATTGTCTCCAAGAAGGATCTTTAAGGTCCTGTAAATTAGGATAAAAAGACTGTTAATCAATTTTCTATTAAATAGACACAACACTGGCTTATTTCCACTTATTTCTGTGTTTTGTTGAAAAGCTGGGTTTTTTATACACTGAAAGCAGTAATTTATCTGTATTACACTTGCTAGTAGGTAACACTGTAATGCAGTAATTTCCATTAGATTAGAGCATTCACAGACAGGCAGACCTGATAATGCCATTTGTTAAAATACAGGAAATTTGAGTGAAGAGCCTTTCTGTARTCATGTGAACCTCAGAAGAATCAGTTTCACACATTTAAAGTCTTAAAAGCCTTAAATCAATCTTATTAAAGGTAATGGTTGCAGCACTGGTGATTGCATACAATAAAATCAAGGAACTATTTACTCCACAGGTTTGTTGTTTTTAAAGTCATGATATAAAGAGACAAAATGGTGAATAATTACATCATGGCTTTATGCTGCTAGTATGAAAATGCCTGTAAGTAAAGCAAGCAGCATATTTAATGTTTTGAACACTTACYAGCAATTTTGTGACAGTATCTTCATACTTCTCTTCTTGCATAGGGCAAATTGTGTGGATGAAAGGTAGGAAAGCTTCTGCATAATCAAACAAATACAGGTATAACATACTGAGTCTTGGAGAACTCTTCAGTGCATACAGAAGAAAGAGTGATTTTCCTGGGTTTACAGCCTGAAAGGTATCAAATTATCAAGTTTYAATCAGTGAAAAAATGAAATTAATGGGACATGCCAGTTCTTAAATTTTCTGACAATCATTATTCAAAGAATTTTTTTACAAATTAACAGTTCATAAAACTGAGTAGTTTTTACACAGGTGATTTTACTACCTTAACATTCCTCCTGGCTTTAAGAGAATTTTCTATTAAATACATAATTTWAAAAACAATTAGTATACATGATATGACACACTTGATATAAAATTTACCTTATATTCCCAAAGATTCTGTGGTGGTTTAACACCTAAAGTTTTCACACATTCCAGTTCTGCCACAATAGCTCTCCTATGGTTACTGTTCTCTACATTGTAAGGCTCTTTGGTGAAATCCTCCTCAGTCAGTGTTAGGAGGAGTCTACAAAAGCAAGAATTTGGAAAATTAACAGTGCCCATTCAGCAAAGAGATCTGACTAAAAAATATACAACTGCATACTGAAACAATAAGCAACTGATACACGRTAGCACCTTTTRGGTTAAAGAGCCATAGAATACTTTGGATTGTCAGGGACCTTCMAAGATCATCATCACATTCCATATCAAGTGTTCTACACCAACTGCATTTCAGAGCCTGGGTTTTAAATTTCCTTCTTTTCCAGTTTCCTCTTGCCTGCTTTCAGCACAACTGCTGGGGGKGAATCCATRYGCATACAGCACATKCGTATTTCCACAAGAAAGGAAAGGTGGAAGGGCTGTATAATACATCAGCAGAATTTTACTTTCAGTATCATTTCAGTCTGCATTGTCAGCATTTTAAAAAGTTATTAGAAAAWTTTAAGGTAGCTTGCTCAGTACCTACTATTTATGCCTTCAACAATAGTTAAAACATCCTCTGAAATTTATTCTGATACATCAAAAGAATATTCCCACAATCCGTGGAACAAAGTGCAGTCATTTCACAATAAACTATCCCTAATGGATCTATCAGTAGTCCAATCACATACTCATTGTCCTTGACCATCAGGCCTCTCACCTTCCATTTACTTTCTCCAGTAAAAATCTTTCTTTGTAATGTGAAGCCCATGGGCCCAGCTGCTCTAGCCACAGTATCACTTCCTCAGCAGTCCACTTAGCAACAGGCTTGTGGACAAGAAGATCATCTTCAAATTCCCTGCTACTCCAGTGATAGCCAAGCAGAACTACCTATAGGTAGATTACAAAGATAAATAAAAAAAATCCTTTACTTGCAAAGTAAATACATTAATGATAAAAAAAAAACACACAATAAGGGGCTTGACATGTAGAATCTTCCATTTAATGGATATTAGAATATTCAGGTTATAAGAAAGTATGTTGAAGTTTTACCCTCTTTGTCTAACTTCAATTTGCTGCACATTGCAATTGAAGTTCCTGACAGACAGCTCTGAAGGTCACTTTACTTAACTCTGCTCAGCTGGAGTCTCTTCTGTGGTGACAATCTTTCTAATGTGCATGTAATTTAAGAATATTTGATTGCATACTTAATGAAGCAAATAGAGAAAAAGAACCTGATGAAACTTACTGCTACACAAGTTAAAGCTGTCAGAACGCCTGAGAAAAACCCTCCTCGAGGATTGATTCTTCCTGTRCTTGGAACTGTAGGCATCTGGTCATTCCCATATTTTTGGAAAGTTGCTAAGCTGCGTGCTACATCACTGTTTTGTTGAATATCTTCTTTTCTTTGTTCAATGGCATCAGAAAATAGCTTTTCAATAACATCCCTAATAGGAAAAATATTTGTCATTATACTGTAATCATTGATATTCAGARAAGGGATTCATTTTTGGATTCTTGTTTTCCAGCCTCTACTGAACTACCATCTTTGAAAGCAAGAAAAAATTAGTTATTAAAGCTTTGTAAACTTAAAATTGTACCAATAACTTCCAAACAYTTTCCTTAGTTTCTAAARCTAAAACATCACGTATTTTAAAATACCATGCATCTCCCAAGTTATTTCTGGCAAGCCTCAATTATTAAAAAATGTTACGCAAAAGACAACATAAAAGCCTACCATCARTCCTACCATCTATTTACTAAACTATTATTAAGCCCAGAAAAAGTATTATTAACAAAAGAACTTGTGTGTAATTCAAGACAGCAAATAGAAGTTTCTAGTTTTGTTCTGCAATATGATCATATTTCTTCCAATAAATAATTCTTATTTCAGAAATAACTAGATGATCATCAATTTAATTTAGAATTATTAGAAAACAACCAGCTATATTAAAAGATTCAGGATCCCACCTCTCCATCTCCCAAAAAATTAGAAGGGGAGGGAAGCCTAGCCCCTAGACAAACCTCCTCCCTCAAAACAAAACCAACCAACCAATCCACCCCTTAATTCCATGTGCCTGAACAGTTCATGCAAGTGCAGAAGATGAAAGTTTTTGGGATTTAAATTTCTTTGCGACAGTTCATATTACCAATAAACTAAGAAAATCTGCATCAAACTCAAGAAACCAGACAGCTAATTTCAGTGGATTTAYTTATCCAAAAATAGCATTCACAAAATAGGTCACTCACCTGAGGAGGATGTTGACTTTGGGGAATCCTTCCCATTTTTCTCTGCATTCAGGGCATTCATTCTTCTTGGATGACACCCACCACAAGGCCAAGCAATGCCTACAGAAGCTGTGCCCACAGTTCAGGGTGGTGGGATTGACCAGAATGTCATAGCAGCARTGGCACAGGAACTCACTGACTGATATCTGCTGGCCAGTGCCAGGAGTAGCGCATGGCTCTACTTTTGCCCTCTCTGTTTCCCCGTGTAAAGTCTCATCTTCTTCCATTTTCTTTTACACCTTACACAAACAGAAAGTTCTCTTAGATCTTCAAACCAGATAAGGCATTACTTCTGCAAAACAGGAAAAAAAAGCTACTATAGAAGTTTAGGATTGTAAAYAATGTAATTTATCATTGCACAGCTTTTCCACTCAGATGGTTTTAAACTTTTTAAGTAACTCAGCCCTCCCCAAAATGAAACAKGATCTATTTTTCAATAACTTGCAAATATTCATTGCCAACTACAATCAAAACCAGATGCTAGATGTAAACAGCTGGGTTCAAGCTCCCTAACTTTCTTCTGCTGTGTTACAAACCACATAAAAGTGAAACAAAATAACCCACTATGATTCAAGCGACTTTCAACAGTATCTTTACTCAAGGTTTTAGCAAAACACAGCAGTAAAATGAAGGATTTTTAGAGGATACAAAGATAAAACACCAGTATAAAGTAATAACCTGATTTACTCCATCCCTCTTCTTCCCAATATGGAATAAAACATTACTAACAGAGGTCAATGCTAGACATTGCCGGGCTTTGYAAAAAAAGAAAAAAAGTTTAATCTACGAAAACACATGCTTCAGAATCATAAGGAACTGACCTGCATRCATTCTCAGCAAAGGTCTGAACTCCACATTCACTTTACTCACAGTTGCTTTGTCAGTATTACAGAAAATGCACAGATAAGAAGAGTTTARGATGGTTCCAAGCTTACCTACTCTCTTGATATTCCCATTCCATTCTCTTAGATGGCAGTACTTAKTTTCTTAATTAAAATACTGATCGAGATCACTCACTCATCACTCATGATATGTTAGAAGATACTAAGAACTGAACAATTTTCTCAGGCACTCCCAAACCAAAATATTACGCTCTGCACCATGTGGCTCCTGCTTACCACTAAGTTACCAACTTGCCATCCAGATCAAGCACAAAGAAAAGCATGTAAACAGGTAAAGAGTAGAAATAAAGAAAAAAAAAAAAACCCAAAAAAAGAAAAGAAAAAAAGCACCCAGTACAGAAACAGAAACCAACAGTGAAACTAGAATCCTCAGACTTCCAAACCTGTATCTTCCTGGCAAACCACAAGGCTRTTAGCTTTCCAAAACACAAACCTGAAACAGCACTTATAAGAGGAGAAATAAAAACAAGGTTTTGCACCTAAAAACATTCTAGCTTTCCTGAAAGACAGAGGCAACAGGATTTCTGTGGGTAGAAAATACTTCACCGCTCAGTCTGCGCCAAGTGAGAGCCAGCAGCAGAATGATTCCTAGCTCCTCTCCTGTCTCTTCCCAGCTCCAACTTCCTGCCCTCCGCGCTGCTTCCTCAGGCGCGGCACGGCCGGTGCGGGCCCGCGGCGTTTCCTACGCAGCCCGGGCAGGGCAGGGCAGGGCAGGGCCAGGCCAGGCCGGTGCGGGGGCGGCCCCAGCCCGATCCCCCAGCCCGATCCCCCAGCAGCAGGCTCGGGCCCCGCGGCGCCCCGGCTGCAGCGCCGGGCCGAGGAACGGCCGGGCCCGCGCCGCCGCTTCCGTCCGTCCCGCCCCGCGGGCACCGAGGCACCGCGGCTCCTCCCCCGCCGCCGCCGCTGGGTAACGCCGCTCGCCCTCTCAGTCCAGCGCTTAAAATCACCGCACACGAGCACTGCTACACTCATGATTTTGGGGATACACGCACTTCTCGCATATTCGTGAGAACTGTGCTACGTTTGCTTACTGTACACTACACACCCAGGTAACTTTCCTTCGCAGAAACTGTTCAAGGTTGATATACAATAAAAATTCCAGCTGGAATCTCAGAAGCAAATGAGACAYTCAGGTGCTAGTTTGTTTGCAGTGCTAATGCATCCTACACAGAGACTATTTTTACCTCGTWATAGTCTGTCTATCCACACACTCACAATTACTTATATTAATCTGTTCCCTTACTGGAGTTCTTTTTTGACTAGTGTACTAAGAAAAYTGATTCACTCTCCACAACTCCCTGACAAGAGGTTGAAGCCAGGTGGGGATGTGCCTCCTCCTCCAGGGAACAAGTAGAAATTGGATGATAGTATTGGTAGTAGAACTGGATGAGTAGAAATTAGGATGAGAGGACATTATCTTAATCTGCACCAGAGAGGTTTAGTTTGACATTAGGAAAGGGTTAGATTAGACACTGGAATGGGCTGCACAGACAGGTGGTGGRGTCACCATCCCTGAAAACGTTTAAGGACTGGACATGGCACTMAGTGCCACGGTCTGGTGGATATGGTGGGTGTTCCGTCTTAGGTGGGACTCAATGGTTTCTGAGGTTTTTTCCAACCTAATTAATTCTRTGAATTTTGAAAGTACCTCTGAGGTGTATTTTGAAAGTACCTCTGAGATGTGTTCAACCCAGCAACATTTTCTTGACGATTCTGTCCCAGTTTGATACATGCTACTAGTCCAGTTCAACTGACATTTCAGCTAATTATTCCAGCCTATTTCAATWAAGAAAACAATAGTATCTTATTGTTTTGTCTTCCATGTTATCCATTTTTTTTTCCAGAGAACCAATGAGCAAATCCTTAAATTACCTTAGCATGAAAGAATTCAAACTCTTCTAGATCTGAGGAAGTTCATCTAGATCTACCTTAGTACATGAGGTGAAAATGTGGCCCAGAATATTTAGGCCTTGTTCTAGAATATAGTTTTTTACTCCTTTTTTGTGTGTGTGTTTTCACTTAGCTTCACATTCAATGTTCAATAGAGTAACAGGACACAAAAGTGTTTGACAGTCTGTGCAGCAGATTTGAATGATGAGAAAACTTGGCCTTTCTGTTCCAGTTTTTAAAACTTTTGATGTATAAAAATGSCATGGAGTCCCATAACTCACTGCCTGTATTGTTCTTTCTCACGTTTTAGATGTTTCTTCTGCTTATGTAACAATACATACATGTTGAAGTAAAAAATGTCTAATCTGTATGACATAGTACTTCAATTCCTATTGCATCCTACACCATTTTACTGTTTGACTTGCAGTTTATTTTGTAGGTGAGGAAAGCAGAGTTCCTGGATTTGCCACCTACTCTGTGGAAAATGTCAGACTTCTAAAACGGCCACCAACCACTTTAAAATACCATGAGCACTTAAACTAGAAACTGCAGAAATGCATCTTAAAGAACTGAGGAGTAACAGGAGAATTTAGGCTTTTACTGCAAAATAGAAACAACTTTACCACTAGCTCTTCTACTACTATCTACAACAATCTTAGTGGGAACCATTTACTCATACCAGTTCCTTTGCTGAGAGTGCCTGTAGAATAAATTGTTTATACTGAAAAGGCACAACTTAATCTTGAAGAAACTTTAAAAGCTCTCTAAGTCCTGCATAGTTTTTATCTKGCTCTGTACACAGAAATTATCCCCCAGTTTTGTGCAGAACTTTTCATTTGTTTTCATTCTGCTGTAATTCTGGAAAAGACGCTTTATGAGCAGTGTGAACCCCAGCCCTGCAGCACACACACTGAACTCCTCCACCGTCCATGCCCACAACTCCTGCCCTCTGCCCCTGTGCAGCACCTTCTCTCTGGGGCAGCTCCGCCATGCACAGCGCTGCTGAGGAGACATCCTGAGGGCGCTGAGCTCTGCTCTTCTGCAACGAGGTGCCAAAGTACCAGCTCTGACAGGAAGACGCTTCTTCTGTAACGATGCAAGACTTTCAGTTCCCATGGACTTATCATCATTAAAGCATCGTCACTAGTAGTTCTCCACCATCCTCTTGGTGTCTCCTAGGCAGATTTCCATTCCGTCTTCCTTGCTGGTGCTAGTTACGCATTTCTGGCCTGAACGGTGAGGGCTTTGTTTGGCGAGGCCCACATCCATGACATTTCACCACAGCCCACAGAACTGTGGCTGGTGTAGGASTTCCTTCCCTCCCGGGACCCGCGGCCGCCTCAAAGCAGCGGCAGGCGGCTGAGGGCACCGTTCGAAGCTGGCGGCACCGGGCCCTGGGCGGACAGGGCGGTGCGGCCCTGAGGGCTCCGCCCCGGTAGGAAATGGCGGCGGGCCGGGCTCACGTGCGCGCTCACGTGCGGCGCGCGGGGCGGCCCCGGAAGCGCTCGGCGGCGGCGGGCGGGCGGTGCCGGGCGGTGCCGGGCCGAGCTCCGGCGGGCGGGGGCGCGGGATGGAGGTGATCAGGAGCAGTGAGTGACCATCCGCCCCCGCGCCCCGAGCTCTGCGCCGACGGCGTACAGCTGTCCCGGTGYCCCGGCTTCCCTGCCCCGGGCTGGCGGCCTCTCCGGCCTCAGCCTCTCCTCCATGGCGAAGGGGTCTCCTCTGCCCCGCTCACCCATGCGGCGCAGCCCTGAGCGGGAGGCGCGGCCCCGAGGCTGTGTGGGGAGGGCGGGCAGGCCCCGGCCCCGGCCCCGGCCCCGGCCCCGCGGTGTGCGGCCGGCGTGGACCGCCCCTGCCCGCCCGAGGGGCGCCGGGCTGCCGGAGGATGTCGCTCGTAGCCTCAAGTGTGTTTTACCCCTTTACCTGCAGATTTTAAGGATAACCTAAACAAAGTGTATGAAGCCATTGAAGAGTCGGACTTTCTGGCCATCGATGGGGAGTTTTCAGGTACAGTCGCACCTGTTTTGTGATTGTGAGCTGTTGGCAGTGTCTGAGGGGGGGTGGTTTGCCCTCGTCCCCGCGCTCGCTCCTCAGATGCATCTCAGGCTTGGCTTGAAAAAGCTACAGCTGAGGCTAGCACAGAGTAATTAAACCACTTGTTACATGTGCGRTAGCAAGGCTTTGGTTAAAGATACGTGTCGTTATCATGCTGCTTCTGCTCCCACAGTAATCATTCAAAATAATAACTGATAGTTGCAGCTCAGGGTAAAAAAAAAAACCCAGGGGTAATATGGGTCATGAAATCAATGGACTGGGAGAAGTGAGGGAGGCCCTGCAAGCGTTTGGGCAGGGGAAGGCAGCASTAAGAACTTGTGTATTTGTAAAACCCAGAGGGTATATGCCGCAGGGAGATGCTTTAATAGATACGTCGCTTTTGGAATGTAGAGTTCAGTTTATCCATGAGACATCAGTGTGAGCAAAACTAGGTTTAGTTACATGTGGTGCTTATRTAAATGCAGTTGTTGCTTATTGCTTAAGGTGACTGAGTTATTCAATGAATCTCTGAGCAACACTKCCCATTCTTAGTTTGGCTTTGATGCTGCATTGTGTTGTAAAGCCCATCTGCATTAGGATACTGGTAGGTCTAACATGTTTAATAGGAGTCAGAATAACAGAATTTCTGTGGAAGAGGTTTGCTTCTAGAACACCACCATTAAAATGAGTGGCTTTTATGCAGTAGTATTTTTCTTAATTGAAAGAATTGTAACATGTCCTTTTAAGTGAAAACATTTTTCTTAAATTACCAGCTGTTGMATTTCTTTGCTGTGGTTACTTGTGAAAAGCTTACCGAAAGCAATATATATTCTGCTTTTTCAGGGATCAGTGATGGGCCTTCAGTTAGTGCATTAACAAATGGCTTTGACACTCCAGAAGAAAGGTATCAGAAACTTAAAAAGGTAAAGTATTTTTGGACTAAAATGAAAACTGAAGCTGCTTCAGGTGCAGCATCTTATGTGTGGGACCAACAGGTGGAAAGAGATGGAACTTCCTTCAGTGCTTGTCTGTTTGTGGAATGAAAGTGCATCCTAAAGTCACCTTGGGCCAATAGTAAGATAATTAAATCGGGATGAAAATCAGTTAAAAAATTCTGGTGTATGTACTTCAAAATTAAACAGCRAAGCGCACATTGATAAGAAGATTCTTTTTACTTAATTTTGAAATGGGGAAAAATTATATGTGGTTGCATCCTGGTAATCTTTAAAGGTGTCCGTGTTTTATTCTCATGCAAAGTTTTCCTTTCCTTTCCAGCATTCCATGGATTTTTTGCTCTTTCAATTTGGCCTTTGCACTTTTAAATATGATGACGCAGAGGAAAAGTATGTTATTCCCTTATTATTTGTTTYCTTAGTTGAGGATTTTCTGAAGTATCACTGATAAGCTGTACTGACATGTAACTTATCTTTTCTACAGGTATRTAATGAAGTCATTTAACTTCTATATTTTTCCAAAACCATTTAACAGAAATTCACCAGATGTCAAATTTGTCTGTCAGGTCAGTAGAAAAACAAGTTTGATTTTGTTTGGTTAAGGTATATCTGAAACAAACTTCAACTTAAAAGGTAGAAAAATGTATGGTTTTGCTTGGTTTTTRTTCTTATAAAATAAATAAGCATCATTTAAGAGCAATCCCAAAAATGAGCTTTAAGGGAATATCCTTGACTTCAATTTTTAAATCTTGTTATGCATTACATTGTGTGGTTTCTGTAACTGGAGATAACGTTCCAAACCTGGAAGACTGTTCTATTTCTTTCCCCTTTTTCACTGAACTTCGAGTTTCCTTGTTTTWTTAATCCTTTATTCCCAACTGCTTATCTCACTTACACTGCTTCCCAGGCTATTGCCAACATTTTTCCAGTCTCAGATTTGTTCTCCTGAACCACATTTTGCTTTCTTTASTTTTGTCTTTCCACATAGTTTGTTCTTTCATGTTTATCCCTTAGCATATCCATTGTTCTTGTACTTTATRGAAGTTGAAAATAAATAAAAGTAGCATAGCCTAAACTCTCAGTGGCTTCTTTAGGGTCACAAACTTGATTGTTCTTGGCTTTGTACTTTGTACAATTTCTAAAACCTGTGAAAATAACTGAATTGATCTTTTCTCCCACAGCTACTTTTGCCAATTGTAAAGYCTTTTTCTCTTGTTGCAGAGTTCAAGTATAGATTTTTTAGCAAACCAAGGATTTGATTTTAATAAAGTTTTTCGCAATGGTGAGTTGTTTTGGTTTTTGGGGTTTTTAATTTCTTTCAGTGATGACACCTTTCATCATTTTCTGCAAAAAGGAAAAAGACTGCCATTCGTGATACTGTCTTAACACATAATGAAATCCTTGAATTATTCTTATCCAGTCTGCTGTTGTGCTGATGGTAACTCCCTTTCCAAGAATTCATTGCATAGTTCAACAGAATAGAATTCCCACTTCCATGAGAGCTTGGTTGTTTATTTTGTATAGAGGCAAAGCATGAATAGAGAGAGTAACAATGAGTGGAACTGTGGTACATCAGTAGTAATGTCTACTGAGGTACCGGTGTGTTGTGATAGGAAATGCTGCAGTCTGATTTTGGAGTGATGCAGATAGCRAGGAAGACAAGTGCTCAGTACTTCTGTGGCTGTGATCTGCAGCTCTGCAGTGCTGGGGCTCATGCCTTGGGCAGAGGAGGCTCTTTAGTGCAGTGCTGCCAGCTCAGCTGGCGTGTGCTGGAATGCTGGGCAGACACAGAATGTATGGGATTTAGAGCAGATAACTGAAATGGAAGKGTTTGTTTTCAGCCTTCAGGGGTGTAACAGAAGCACAGGCTTGAATTCCTACATATCCTTAATTCGTCTCTAATTATGGTGAGTTTTTACTTTTTTTTTTTCTTTTTTTTTTTAGGAATTCCATATTTAAATCAGGAAGAAGAGAGGCAGCTAAGGGAACAGTATGATGAAAAACGTTCTCAAGCCAATGGTGCAGGATCTCTGTCATACCTTTCTCCTAGTTCCGCAAAGTGCCCTGTAACAATTCCTGAAGATCAGAAAAAATTTATTGAGAAAGTAGTGTAAGTAACACTTTAATATCCTTTGATGTTGTTAAATAAAATGTGAACACTGGTGATGTTTTCATATGTTGAAGCCATTTTTATTAGTTCATTGTTTGTAAAATGCTGCACTTGTTGTTATGAACATTTTCTTGTCTTCTGGGGAGAGCTGTAAACTTCCAAATAGTAAGACAGATGTAGAAACAAATAATCTGTTTCTTCCAGGGAACAGATAGAAGACTTATTAAAGAACGAAGAAAGTGAAAGTTTGGAATTGGAGCCATGTACAGGGTCAGTTTCTGAAATTACTTAACTTCTAAAAAATGTATTTATTTTGGTCATACAGAATTAGGGGAGTGTCAAGGGAGAATATATTTACTTGGGTTGACTTTTGTAGCAAAATCTACATTTGACTGATTTTTGAATATCAAGAAAACAGTAATATCTGCRGGTGCTGTAATTTATATTGAGCTGTAACTTCTGCATAATGGCAAAATATTTAAGTATAGCCAAGAAATGTTTTGTATATGTGAGCTGCCTTTTGTTATTGCTGAAGTGTTCCTAAGTCTTGGATAGGCATTTTATAAACTTTTCAAGCCTATTGAGCTATTGGTTGTTGAGACTTGACAGTGTGTGACTGTTTTTAATAGGTGTCCTTCYCAAAAATCTGTTTTGTTTTGGAGTCTAGATATTTGGAGAGTATGATTATTTAAAAAGAAATTTATAGAAAATTGAATTTAGAAATAGTAGAACATGGTAAAAAAGAACATACTATMACTGTTTGTATATTGAGTGATCATGRCTATGGAATACTCTCTTATGAGAAGATATGTGGGTAACTGTAAAAGGTGGTGTAAATGCTTTTACAGTTTGGTAACTGAACATCAGAATTCAGTAAATCTCTTCCTAGCCTATAGGTTTTGGTAGCAGTGACTTTTGCTTTAAAAATCTTTTTACGAATGAACACAGTCAACTTTTACTGAAAATCATTTCTTGGAAGCATTCTGTAAGAGGATTATTAGTAACATGATTGTCTTTTGGTTTTAGATTTCAAAGGAAATTAATTTATCAGACCTTGAGCTGGAAGTAAGTTACTGGTAATACTGCCTTATTGTATGCTTTTAGTACTTTTGATAAGAAATCTGGGTAAGATCTGATCTACATAACCTTGGGCTGATTAATTCAGACATTTCTTTCCCTTTAAAAGAAGACTTTCATAGTGTTCTTTATAGTCTTCTTTTATAGTGAAGATAAATTACCTGAAAGTTATTTGTGATGACTAACATAGATATTTAAAGCTTAGTATTTGGTTTATCATTGSTATATAAAATCTCTGAATAGGACAGCACAGCCTAGAATTATGTAACAAATGCAGCATGCTRGGTTTTCAGTGAACAGAAAGTGCAAGTGCTTATACAGATTTCAGGGCTCTGCCTGAAAAACTGCTATAGTAGGTACTGCTCTGTTTATAGTTTCCTGTTAATGCCAAGCATAAGCATTTCTGGTAACTTATTATATTGCTTAAATATATCCCTTAAGGCCTTAGGAGAAACTCTAAAGCTGTAGAGGAAGATTTTCACTGTTGTGACTGCACTAGTAAGATGTAGAAAATCCACAAGTCTTTTTTTTTTTTTTTTGTATGTTTAGTGAATTTGGTGTTGCAGCACTTAATCTGACACTCTGTTATTTACACTGGAAGTAGATAAAATAAAGGTTGTCTCTATAAAATGGAATCTCAAGAAGTGAGCTTGAGAACCAATCTGAAAAAAATCGAAAGTGTTTTCAACAATTTTTCAGTGTCRTTTTTTTAATATATGGGTAGAATATCTATAGCTTCCTGTAGTTTTCTGTTTTTCTGACACTTATCCTTGCATCTTCTCTGAGTGAATCGAAGAATGTGTTCTTGAGTTGCTTTTTTTAACACTCAGCGGTGTTGCTTTACGTGATTACAGCTGTGTACACTGTGTGGGTGTATTGGAGAGGGAAAGCCAAGGTATGAAGATAGCATGGAGATAATTCAAGCAGAAAAGAGTGAAGTTATTGATTGCCTTTGTGTCCTGACCTCTTCCCAGGTCGTTTTCTCAATTGAAATGTTCTCCTGTGCATCAGTGTTTTGATGCATCCAAGGTGTGTGACATGAGACAGCTCATAAATGGGATGTAGGCTCAAAACTGTGTGAGCAGTCAGGGTGGAGAGGACACAAGAGTGTTTGGAATGTGCTCTCCAGTACTAATATTAGGAGTAGCCAGAGGACAAGGAAACTGGTTCTGCAGTGGTTAAGATAGTTGTGGTTAGTTTATTGTAATGAGATGATGAATGTAATTGCTATTGGTTAGGCAGTAAAAGGCAACATTCTTTTACTTTTGCTATCCAACGCTCTGTGGCTCTGCATATGGTAATACTTTGGAAATTCAATGTGATTGTGGTGATATGGTGCAACCCTGTAGCAGCAGTGGTGACATTTGAGTTAATAATTCCTTTTAAGATCTACTGGTCGCAGAAAGTTCAGGGTTGTTAGTGAATCCCCAAATAAGTGACATGTTAGAGGTATGCAGTCTCCAAAGAAGCTGGCTTGAGGCTGCAAGTAAATGAGAGCATTCTCACCAGTATTTTTGGTTTGGATTTCTKGAAAGCTAAGATTCTAGATTGTGAKGAAATATCTAAATKATGTTTACTTAATATTACTAAAATAAGAAGTTACAGGTTCTGCAACAATAGCATGGGAAGTTGCGTAAGTGCTAGTTATTGTTAGGTAATGTAAGGAGGTCAGTTCAAGTAGCCTATTGCTTCTAATTTTCCATTATTTAACATTAAAAAGAAACTTTTATTGTTCTTTTACACCTAAGACTTACAGTAATAATGCAACATGAAATGATTGAACCACTGTTGTGGTTTCAATATGTTAAATGCCAAAGAAATAGATATTTATATTTACTTTCCCTTTGTTTTGATGTAGGTATCCAAAAGGTATCCATGTAGAAACTCTGGAGTCAGATAAGGTAACTAGGCCTGTTACTGCCTCTCACATTTGTTATGTACAGAGAAAGTTGTATTTCTCAATTTTACCAGCTTTCCTGACCTTAAGATTCAAAAACTTGAGCTTTGTTATGCAAATACAAAATATTTAAAATGGAATGCAGTGAAGTAGTTTCTAAATATTGTATCTGACCACCATATGGAGTGTGAGCATGTATTTGTGTGGCTTAATATTACTTTTTAAATGGATACTAAAAGGTGTGTTAAAACACCGTGGATCTTATGTTCAATAWTAGTGAAGGCAGATTGTGATTTTAGAGGAGAAACGGCAGCATCCCATGCTGTATCCTCTTCCCACGTCCCAGCACAAATCTCTGCTACAAAAGATACTTGAAGCAAACTGTTTACAAGGAAATGCTGATAACTTTTTTTGAGATGTAAAAAGTGGATTTAGGAAAAGTTAGGTTTGGTGGATGAATCAAATACAGCTTTCTGAAGTAGGCTTCTGGGAGTAGGTGATAAAGTGGTGCCTGCAATAGAAACAGTTGTGTTGCCARGTAACTGCTGCTGAGGTATGACAGTTTTCTTTACAATGTAAATTTACAGAAACTTGCAGCAGCCTTAAATCTGAACTTCTCAGAGTCATTCCTCAAACTATGCATCTTTTGTTTTAGAAGGAGAGATATATTGTTATTAGTAAGGTAGATGAAGAGGAACGAAAACGAAGAGAACAGCAGAAACAAGCAAAAGAACAGGTAAATAAATTCAATTTTGTTTGTTTATGTGAGAAAGGAGGGGGAGAATCTCTGATTTCACTCAGCAATACGAAAATGCAGGATAGGGTTTGGAAGTGTTTCCCTTTGGTTTGCTGTGACTGGCCAAAACTGATCTTCTAAATTCTACCAGATAACTTAAGCTTTGCACCAGAGCAAGAAAAGTTGCAAGGCGTTCTAAATTTTTTTTTAAATCAGAATTTGTGGAATACTGAATGAGTATTCTGGAGTAGTGAATACCTCCTTATGTGAACTTGCTCTCTCACAGAAGTGTGGCCTAGTAATAGGAAACATCAGTTTCTTGCAGGAATTCTTGAGCAAGTTGTTATAGTCTTTGGATTCACAGTGTTCCTGTCTGTTTGCTTAATTGCTTGATGCTCTTAGTTGTCTGAATTAGTGTCCTGTACAATTAATGTGTCATTTCTCAAGRGAAACTCTGCTGTGGTTACAAGCTGACCAGAAGGTCACGCCTGGTATGTTCAGGCACTTTCACTGTTTATAGGACTTTGTATTTTGCTTACTGAGTGATTAAAGTTTCAGGAGGTCATAAGACTTGAATTATGGGAGTTCTTGATCAGACTCTTGTGATTTGTCCTTTCCTATATGAAGATAAAGTCAGCGTGGGTGGAGCAAATAATATTACCATGCAGAAAGCCTTYTAAGAGAGAAAAGAGATGTCACATTAGTTAATGTCTCTTTAGATATCTCTTTTTCCAGAAGACAAGTCAGGAACAATTTATTGTTCCAGTAGATTTTCCTGAAGCATTTTTAATGGGGATATTACTTCTCATGACTAGCGACATTCAGAGCTGAACTAAAATAACAGTGAATGTTTTTACTGAATTTCAATTCTGGTTGAATAAAGATAGATAACACAAGGCAGAAATAACTACCTGAAAAATAAAAATCTGTTACAAGCAGAGTGTAACAGAGTCAGTTTATACAACTGCAATATTATATAATGTGAGTTACACATTTTAATGTTCTTAGTTTTGTTTATATAAATAATGAAGAATATTCCTTCCCCAGTCTTACTGTTAGCATAAAAGTACAATCTGATTTGACAGGATAACAATCAGGATTCAAACAATATATATAGAAGTACAGCTGAAGATATGTGGGTTAATTTTAATACCTTCTGAGCTGTTTGCAGTGTTATATCTACTGAGCATTATTAGAGATCATGTGCTGACAATGAACTGACTGCAGCTGTTACGACTCTGGTTGGGATGAATCTACCCTTCTCTGTAGCAGCCCAGATTTTGCTGTGCTTTGCATTTCTGACTACACCACCAGTGATACCATCCATGTGTTTTGTCTGAACAGCACTTGCACAGTGTCAAGGCTTTCTCTCCCACCCTCCCCCAAAAGCATGGAGGCTGGAYGGGATGGGCTCTTATTATCTTTACCCACAAGTCTTATTGTCTGTCTTTGAATTTTTGGGTGAGGGGAGTGAGCAAAGGGCAGAGTGRCTGTTTGGATTCTCACCAGGGGCARCCCAGGACAACAGTCTGTGACTTGTCCTATTTGACAGAGAACTAGAGCTACTTGTGAAAGAGGAATTCTGTCAGCAACATCCTGCTTTGACCTCTTTTATCCTCCAAATGTTGACATTTCCTCTGTGATCTGTTTTTGGTTATGTCTGAGAAACAGTTTGAGGCAAACTGGGTACATCTGCCAGTTTGCAGGTACAGTTTTGGCAATATTTGTATTTATGTTTCACTAATGTCAGAATATTTGCTTGCAGGAAGAATTGAATGATGCAGTAGGATTTTCCAGAGTTGTTCATGCCATTGCTAATTCTGTAAGTTAACATGTTTTTTAATCTACCTTTGTTTGTAAAAAAAATAAATAATTCAAAGAAAGGGCTCTTTTGCTGTTACATTTTGTAAGAGAAGATAAAATACAAGTTAAAGTGACTTAAGTTTGTGTTGCTTCATGTTTTACAATTATTAATTCAGTAGATTAAGTAAGCTCTTAAACTRAAGAGTAACATGAAAAGTCTTATATATGAGAATCAACAATACCAATTTCTTAAGGCTCTTATGTAACTAAGCCTTAGGGTTTTTTTTTTTTCCCTCTGTTCTGAAAAGATTGTGGGTTTTTTCCCTTTTTTTCCCCTGTCAGTTAAAGGCTGTCAAAGAACTATTGTCATGTCAAATGAATCAAAGTTAACCTTTAAAAAAGTTCTTGTGCTTTTTCAAGAAGGCACTTGCTTGTTCAACATCTGGCATGAAAGGTTCTGCCCTGTGAGAAGCCAGACCTTGCCCTTAATACCTATTGTATATTGTAACAATAAGGATTATGTTGTGTGTTGTTTAAGTAAATTAAAATGTACTGGACTGAGAAATGACTTGACTRYGATGTTAAAGAGATTACATTTAGARACYAAGTTGTCAGTAGCTGTTCTAGTGCATCTTCTGAACATTTGAAGCTGCTGCAGGAACCTGTGCTAAATGGCTGKGAGTGGAGGAAAAAGGAGTGGCTGCTCTGAGAGAATGGAGGAGTGTGTGGGGCAGGCAGAGAGCAGATGGGAAGGTCTGATGTTTATTTGTTCCCAGCTGCCCCTGGCTTGCATCTGGGATAAGGGTTGTTACACATTCCCTTTGCCGTGGCCAGGACTGGAAGTGTAACAAACATTTAATGTTCTTTTCACAGGGCAAGCTTGTTATTGGGCACAACATGCTGCTGGATGTTATGCAYACCATACATCAGTTCTATTGTCCCCTRCCTGATGTAAGTAATCTTTTGAATGTCCAGATGATGAAATAAATGCTTTAATGTATTTGTCTTCTAGTCTTATCTCTCCACACTTTCTTGTGAATGGAAGAATTGGTCAGTCTGTGAAGAAGTATAGAAGAGTRTTAAAAAAATTCCATTTGTTCTTCTGAGCTATTGCCTTATTATCTTAAATCATTATGTAGAAAGTTTAGTTGGATTGACTTGTTGTCCTTTGCATTCTTTAAAATGTTCAAATCAAATACTGAAATAGTGGTTTTTGCTTATATCAGGTATATTTAACTGACATGTTATAATGATATGGAGCTTCAGCGCAATTATCTGCTGTTTGTCCATTTGTAGTTYCCAAAACGGGGATTGTGTATTTTCATATAATATAGTGCACTTTAAGTGATAAGCAATCTTGTATCAGGGTGACGTTCACTGGGGTGAAGAGGTGTAATGTCAGAATAATTGCAGGGAGCACACTTTGACTGCATCAGGGCAGTCTGACAGTTCATGACTGGGCAGTCTCACAATTCAGTTAAACTAAGCAATATATTGCACTCAGAACATTGTCAGAAGCCAGAGTTCTCAGTGGAAGGGAGGCTCTCATGACATTGTTACTTGCAATCTTAAAGGGCTTGTGGGTGTTCTTGGAAAGACTTGATCATAAGATGGGAAAAAGAAGTTTGGGACCTGTTTGGATGATGGTGGAACATAACCAATTGTCAGTTGTTCTGTACCTTTGACACTTGGCACTTGACACATCTAAACCCTTAGGCAGTCACTAAATACCTGGAGTGACTGCTTATGTTCTATTGAAATGCTAAATGTGGGAACACTTAAGAATAGCTGTTAACTAGGCTGGAATTAAAGGTATCTAATAGAATAAGGTGTTGGCAGTGATAGAACACTTTATTACTAATCACAGACAAATCAGAAATACTTAGTCCTTAGCTGTGTGCAACTGCAGATGATGTCTGTGGTATTGCTGACAGATAGATCTCTTACAAGGTGAGAATTCAGTTACTGTAGCTCACTTTTAGAGACTGTTTGGATAATTGTAGCTACTGCTGTCTGTCCTCCCGAGGCTGTAAACAGTTCACTGACTTGGATTTTATCTTCCGGTTTAATGTTAAATTAGGACCTAAGTGAGTTCAAGGAAGTAACATCATGTGTCTTTCCCCGGTAAGTTCTTAGTTCAAACTTTCAACCATTTCAGTATAGTTTTAGCAAGCTGATACTGTTTGTTCTAGCCCTGTACCCTAGCTGTTACTGGAAAAGGAATTRGAATCAAGTTAGATAAATACAATTTTTAAAGTGTTTTTGAGCAGCTTTTTTTCAGAAAAGCAGTGCTGTTAGTTCACTGCTTGGCAAAAGATGCACCTTTGCTACTCCCCTTGTTTTGGCATGATGTTTAGTGTTTCGAGTCTACTTCATTTGGAACAAGATTTATTTGTACTAGTTGTTTGCATCACTTGCTGTTCCTTAGTTTCTGTCCTTTTTCATGCTGAACAAAGCCAAGGAATGTTTTGGCTGTTCCAAAATCCAACAGTAATTTTCAGGAGGGTGTATCTGCTGTTTCCCAGCTAATATACTAAAATGGTTTTTGAGGATTTGGCAAAATGGGCATTCTTCTGTTTCAACCTATTTAGCTCTTATTTTGTTTCTAGGTTACTGGATACTAAACTGATGGCAAGTACCCAGCCTTTTAAGGTAAATTATTCTTATAGAATGATTTGGAGAATACAAACTTGCATTCATATATGTATATTGAAACAAATKCTATTTCTTTTTAGAGGAAAATGTCTAATAATGTTTTCTGTGATGCTCCTTTTATTGTAGAGGAATTATTTTTCTTTACCCCTTATCTGAACTTGCAAAATTTATAGAACACAAATTTTTACTCTCCTATTAGTGACTTTTGTGTTTGAAGTTTTAAGGTAACTTGACAGCTTTGAATTCCAAAAGATGTTTTTTGGCAGTTAAAATATGATTAGTAGATGCTTTTCTTCTTGTTAAATTGCACATCCCCTCAGGAGATAAAAAAATAAGTGCTGTTCATGAACAAATAGGATCTGRGAGATGCTTGTATACTCAAAGTCTTACAGTACTGTGAATGCTGACTTGAATTTGTCTGGAAAAATGCTTTATCATCATTCGATTCTCTTGTGGCCTGTTGCTTGGTGGGTAGTCAGCAGTAGGAAAAAAAATTTATAGGTTTCTCTAAAAACCTCTTACAACATGAGTTTTATTCCTCTAAAGAAATATTGAGATAAGTCTCCATAAACTCTTTTTTCCCATGTGCCTTCAAATTAATTAAAAAAGATGCTGATGAAGCAGCATCTGTCTTTGTGCATAGCTCTGTGACTCGAGASCATTGCGTAACAAAGTCTTACTAAAATGTACTTGTAGGTATTGTCAGGTTTGTGCTGCACACTGCTGTGGTAAGAATAGAGGCTTTGGCATTCTGAAAAATAAAAATCCTCCATAGGTTTCATGTTTGGTGCAGCTATGCTGATATTTGTAATTTCCCAGCAGATACTTGGGTTTTTAGACTGTTGTTATGAAATACTGCTTTGGGATGCCAATTAATGCATCATTTTAGCTTGTTCATTGTACTTGGTTCTTGATAACTCTTCAGTCTGCAGACTTGAAGAGTGTCAACAGCTAAGCTTGATTGAGAATCAGAGGAAACCTGATCCTCACAGATTTCAGGCAACTTTAGRAAAGATGATGTGAGATGTTTTGCTTTCTCTGACTGATGGTTCTGCATGTTTCCACTGTTCTGATTGCCAACATATATTTGATTAAGAACTTCCGCAAGGAATTAATCTGTAATACATCTTTGTGGCTTTTATTTTATGYATATTTAGATTCACTGATGCAACTCAGTGAAGTGCAACTTTATGRTTGTCAGGCTTCTTTCTTCCAAGTCTCTATATTACTTTAAGTCAGCAGTATTCACTTTTATAAAATGATTCAAGAATGTCCAGTCAGCAAGCACCTTTCAACACTTACCTTGAATGACCTCAACCATTATGATCAATATTTAGAGTATTTTGCCCTACTGTTTGTGCTGCCTTTTCCCTTGCCACGTGTACCCTGCATGAAGCCAGATTAAAGTAGAAGTATTTCTGTGGCATAAATAATCAATAATTCTGAGAAATATTAATTAATGCTTATGACTCATTACGATGCAGGTGAGGCAAGTTAACTTTGAAACTTGTCTTGACATTAGACATCTCTGGTGCATTAGGTTGAAATGGGGCTATGTGTAAWTCCTTAGAGAACACAAGGTGGCAGCAATAAATGCTCATTTGATTCAATTTGATTTCAGTTTTCAGGGAAAATGTGCTTGGCATTGACACTTAATGATGGCTTTTCTTGTAGGAGATCATTAATAATACATCACTGGCAGAACTGGAAAAGCGTTTAAAAGAGGTCCCATTCAGCCCTCCTAAAGTTGGTAAGGATATGTCAAAATGCTCTTATTTCTGAAATGTTTTCTTCTTTCAGAGGAAACAAAAGGTTTTGATTGTTTTTGTTCTTGGTCTGAAATATAAATTCCCCTACTAATATTTAGTGTTTTGATGAAGGGACTTGAAATGAGGGTACTATACATACAGTGTAGTTTTATTTAGAAGTGTAACTGRAACTTAATAGGAATGCAGATAGTAAAAGAAAAGTAAAGAAAAAGGCTGTTTCATCATCTTCTGGAATGATTTTTAGGTTGATTTTTGAAGATTAATTTGAAATTGGTTTAAAACTTTCCTTTGATGGTTGTCCTTCAGCTCAAAGCCAGAGCACTCCAAGAGGCACTTGGACAAACAAAACCAAGAAAACTTACACAGCAGTGACCAGTTGTGTGTTCTAGAAATTTGTTAAAGTTCCTTTAGTAGGAAAAAGGTCTTTTTGCTTTGAGGTGAACACAAGGATATTTAATCAAGCGCAGGCTTAGCTCAAGGTTCTGGAATTTTTCTTAAGCTGCTGATTTAGAAAAGGGAGGGCAATGCTGAAGAGTGTAGTGAAGTTTTCTAGAAAAGGAAAGTTTCAATGCTTGCTCAAAATCAAGATGAGCAATACTCATTTATGTTGCTGAATGTGCAGACCATAAACACCAAGTGTGTTTGTCAATAAAGACATCCTTACATCACTTAATTCTGTCTTCATTTAAATACCTTGAAAAATCTGCTTGTACATCAATCAGATGACTGGTAAACAATGCAAATCGTTCAGAAAAAAAGATACCCTATGTGGGAAATCCTGCTGTCATTGTYTTAGAATTAGTTCTCCATTTTGGCTAAGTAGGACTGGGGATTAAATGATTTTTAGTAGGAAATACTTTCCACCTTAGCTGCTTTTTCTTATTTAGATATACCAAACAAAACTGCTTTTTTTAAGAACTTAGAAAATTTTAAAGATTCTGAAAATTTGATCAATTTCCCCAAATGATGTTATGGTCTGACAAAATCATCCTGCAGGTAAGCATACAGGATTATCTTTATCTTCTGTGATAACATGTTAATAAATAATGTGTTGTTTTTCCCTCAGAAAGTGCAGAAGGATTTCCAAGTTATGATACAGCATCTGAACAGCTCCATGAAGCAGGATATGATGCTTACATTACTGGACTGTGCTTCATTTCCATGGCCAATTTCCTAGGTACCTGTGAAGTCTTTTCCAAACCTTCTCCCTGGTGCTGTCTGTAGCTGCTTATTACATACTGAATCTGTGCTTCATTCATCAGGTTCATTCCTCAGTCCTCCGAAAAACCATGTGTCTGCTAGATCAAAACTCGTCGAACCTTTTTTTAACAAGTAAGTAGTTGTTGTATTAAAAAACCTGCTGAAAATGGAGCTACAATGCCAGTTTTAGCATATTTGTCTCTAGTCTTGGAATCAGTGGCTAAYTGCATTTTTCTTTGAACTGAAGTTTTATTGCCTATCTGGTTGATGCTGGTAATGCTGGAGAGAGGCTGTGAAGTAAATAGCTGTTCTTTTGAGGAGGATGGTTTGCTTTCTGCTGACCTGTGAAAGGACACTTAGACACACCCGGACTGCTTTAATGGCCTTGCCCATGCCAGTTGGATATATTTCGTTGAGGATATGTTTACAATTTAGAAAATTATTTCTGGAGTAAGCTTTGAGAGTAGTGGAACTGTAGGAAAACTGGTCAGGTGCTCAGAAACTGCTGATAGTGAGGACCAAGTATGCCTAACAGTGTGGAGAAATCTCCCTATTGTGACGGCAATCCAAATACCACAAAATGTTGGTATTGACATGGTTGGGTAACCCAGTTCTAAGATGGCATAAGAAACATACATTTATGAATTAATGGGATGATGCTATGAGCAGTATTTTGCTTTTGAATTGGATCATCATGCAAATTCCTTGAACAAGTGGAAGTAAGTCTTGAGGCATCTGGAATCCTTTACGCACAAGTTTGATTCTTTACATATTTAATCTGTAGATTTTGCCTTAGAAAACTTTTAATGAYACTAAAATCTGTCACATAATGGAAAAGGAGTTGAAATGAAAAAGGTTCTAGAGCTTATTCTGTCAGTTTCAATTTGCAAGAAATTCCATCCTTTCAAACCAAGTAATACAGGAGTTGGCAAAATTAATTGTTTTAACTTMAGGTGGCCCACACAAATGAGGAAATAATTGTGATCAGTGGCTTTCACCTTTCACTGTTCTGAAAATCATATTATAGTGACAGCAGTTRTGCGATTCTCCTGACACTAAGACATGTGAGGCAGTAACTCCATACATTTTAGCAGATCTTACAAATATTCCCTAGATTAAAYTTGGATCCACAGCGATTGTTTGATTTGAAGGTGAAGATAGAATTGATCAGCAGAGTTTCATTTTAAGATGGGATTTGTCACTAGGTTGTTTTCAGGAACACGAACACACACATGCCAGCTAGTAGGTGCCAGWTGAGCAGGATAATTTTTCAATCATTAACCAAATTTTTTCTAGAAACACATATTTGCAACAAGTACAAACTGCAGCTTCTAAAACTGTCACAATAATACATTAAATTTAAGCTTTTCAAATTAATTGTGTACTTCAAATGTGACATTCCTCTAGCAGTGACATTTCAGAGTTCTGAGAGAGTGAGAGGAAGCTTGCTGTGTCTGTTCTGGCTTCAGAGTTAATGCTGCCTGAGTGTAATGAAAGGAAGAGTTAACAAAAAAATTGTAGGGACAACAGCTGCCTTTTTTTTCCTTTTTTAATCAAGAACTGAAAATTACTGTTTGCAAGAAAAGAATGTTTATCCATTCTGTCATTATTCAGAACTTGTAGCTTCTTGTTTCAAAAAAGCTATATATTATTTTTAAATCATGGAAACTTGGAAGACTTTCCATGTCTTATTTCCACATGATTTTGGAAGCTTTGCCATATTCTGACTAACATCTGCCACAAAACTGAAGTTAGAGGTGAGACTATCTCACCTTTTCCTTACAGGGAGCAGGCCAAGGCTTGTATTTTTTAAGCTAGTTTTCTTTCTCCTATAATGCAAACTAACAAAACATAATAAGACAACTCTAGTTTTTTATTGATTTTTTTTTAATAAAGTAGATTTAAGTACATGTTAGAAGTCAGAGCTGTGAGGTATTTAAATGAACGAGTTTTTTGCTCTGTGAAGTCAGTCTCTGTCTGCAGCACTTGATGCTTTTAGCACCTGTAGTAGCATCAGGGCTCTGCAGTTCAGAGGTACCTGAGGATCCCTAGTAAGTGTGTGGCTTCTGGGGCTTTTTGGCAGGTGTGCCCTGAGCTGCCAGCCARCTTCCTGCTATCCCTAGTTGGCTGTAGTTTGTGGTCTAGAATCTTTCCCTAGCTGAGCATCCTCTCTTCTTGCTGGGGAGAAAAAAAAATATCTTCCTCCTTCCTCCAGAAGTTCTACCTGATCCTGTGGGCAGCAGTCAGAACAAGGAAACCTTTTCCTTTGTGCTGTAGTCATGTTCTTCAAGCAAAACACAAACTACAACATGCAAACAGTAAGCTAAATGAAAGTTATACCTTACGTCACAAGTTGTTCCTGAAAGAACATGAGCAGAGGAGTTTATTGCAAGGCAGCTTTTAGAAACAATGTTCTCAGTTTGAACTACTATCAAGATAGTTTTGAAAATGTTCTTTAAAGCAGACCATGATTCTTTGGGTTGCTCATAAAGTCTTTAATTTCAAGATCTCTGAATTTTAGATGTTAATACTTAAATAGTTTAGTGATTATACTTGCACATCATTGCTAGGATTTTGGAAATGTTTTCTATTTGAATGGGCTTGTCACAATGTGATTAGTGGGAGTAAATATAAAATTWAAAAAATCAAGCTTTGATTTTTATGAACTTAGCTTTCAAGTGAAGGTAATACTTTCTTTCAAGAGTGATTTTGGTGTCTTTCATTATTTCAGCAAAGTTATGGAACTTCCTGGCTTGCTGTTCAAGAGTGATGGCCAGCATATAGGTTAATGTTCATAAAGGTTAATGATGAAWATAGGTAAAACCTTTAATTTTAGGGCTTTTGTGAGAGTGGAACTGATTAAAAACAGACTTTGCCCTAGGGTTGTTTGGCTCTTTTAGGCACAATGCACTGGGTTATATGATAAACAACTCAATAAGCCAGGAATTCCAGAGATGCAGTTCTGTAATCTTTATGCTTTACTGTATATACAACATCTTTGAAAAATCCTGTTTGTCTGCTGTGAGTAATCCCTGATGAACATTTATGAGTTGAGATGGGACTCTTTATTGCAATATCTAAACTCTTCTGTGTATAATTTGGATACTGTTATTGTGYCATATACTTTGGAGTTGATTTGATATTTTTTGACTGCTTGGTTTAGGGCTACAGCTCTTTTGTTCCATATCTTCCTGCCCCYACCCCCAAGCCCCTCACAAATTTAATGACAATATTCTTTGGTATCTCTTTGGGTTGTTTCAGTGYTGTTTATTATCTTGATGGAGCTGGAGGCAGGGGGTGGAAGARTGTAGAGAAATGAGAACACCATGTTTTATTGAGCTGAATAGCATMATGGTCTGTAGAAATATAAATTATCTTAGAAATGTTTTTTTATACAATGGTTATCAGAAACCAAAATCTGTGCAAATCACTTGATTTTGTGCTATATTTGTGGAAAATTTCTCAAAGGGAGCTAGGTTCTCTGGCATGTATTGCAAATCCCTCTGATCTTCTATATTAATTTAAATTTGTTTGCAGAATTATTGCAAAAGGAGATTGGTATGCTTTTGTGCAGTTTGACCAATAGCTTTCCWCTCCCAGTGTAGGAGTAAACAGTCACTGTTCTCGTGCTTGCAACCCTGGACTGATAAACTGAGCTGGGTTTGAAAAGATGCCTTTTCTTTTTTCAGCTGGATCAGTTCCCCTGCACAGTTCACCACTCAGTTAGGAAAACTCTCATCCTAGCTCAGTGCAGAGGAGCAGTGTTCACTCTTTGAGACTGTTTATATGAATGGCACAGTGATAGCCTCTCTCGCTTCATTTTACTTGACTTGCCACAGAAACAATTAYCTTTGCAGTAGCTTCTTCAAAATACCTCACAGTGCTTAGGGAGAGATGGATCTCTGTCCTCTGTGTCATCAGGCTATAGTCCCTAAATGGTGTAGGAAATAACACCATTTTTTTTTTTTAGCTTGGTCTGCTTAGCTTTAAAAAAATGTAGCTGACATTGATTTTCACATTAACTCACAACTTAATGAATCTAGGTAATTTAATATAGAGTTCATGCTGCTGTACAGAAAAGCCTTAWTAATTTAAATGTTCTGCAGATAGGTGAGGAATCTTAGAACTGTAGTTATGGATTCTTAATTATGGATTATGTTGGAACTCAGTGTTCATAATCCATGTGGTGTAAGTGCTACAAGATGCAGTTACTTCTGAAACAATTGGGAAGTGCACTAATTATTAAAGTCAGTATTTAGACTACAGGACAGGGAGTATGTGTTTGTGTGTGTATGCACTGTATAGTGACATAATTGGCCAAACAAATAAATGTGGGATTTGTCTCAGGAAGTAAAAAACTGATTAATTAATTAATTAATTTCAGGTATATGTATATTTTCTGTTCTTTGGCCACTGTATATCTTTCCTCAATATGATAAACCTGGGGAAGGGRATTGGTGCAGGTATTTCTGATTTTTATTGATAAAATTCCTTTTAGGTATTGCAGTGCTCAGGGGGATTCAGTGCATGTGTATCTTCCCTGAGACTCAGGAAGATGAATTATATGAGACAGTGTGTGGCACAGCTGGTGCCAGTTCTCACACCCTGTGGCTCACATGTGAACCTGTCCTACAGCACATTTTACCTCAGTGTTTGGGGCTTTTTTCTTTCTCCTATTTATAGCAAAAACAAGTTAACAACTGCATTCCATTAGACTTTTCAGCGATATAAGGAATGGTAAGAGCATGATACCCAAACTCTTAGAACCTACTAGTGAGTGTGGTTTCATACGAAGAATCTCTAGGGACTTACAGATCAGTCTGTACACTAAAAATGTTTTTATCAGCTGTTTACATCAGTTAGTACTTAGTTGAATGCTGTAACTGTAATCTGATAAGCATTTTAGAAGCTTTTGAAAGTTATGATGGAAAAGTTATTTATTTTAGCCCTCCAGTGAATGCTATACACAGCAAAGTTGTGTAACATCAGTGTGACATCTGTACCTATGACAGGCTTTTAGGCTGTTTATTTTATTTGGAAAGGAAATACTTTTCAGAGCTGAGTAAGAACTTCTATTGAAAGCATTTCTTGAATGTTTTGAGAAACTCTTCAGTTACTTGTTGTAAAGACTTATTCCGGTTATCTCTGAAGAAGTCATGGAGACTTTTTCAGTTTTAGGTTCTGAGATCCATTCTGTTTAAAGCATGATGAAGTGCTCACAAAATGGGGAGATTTATGTGTATTTTGAATGATGGCAGCTTTTGCACTATCCACTGTGCACRGGGCTCTTATTGCACGGAGCTGCCACTTGTTAAGTGTTCCTTCCCCACTTGTCTTAATTGTTTTCCGCAGTCACCATTTGGGGATTGTCTTTGTTTTCTTGAATAAGCAAAATTGTTGGTATAATGCCATGTAACTCTTTGGATCTGGTTGTTAGATAAGAGATTGGACTCAGAGGGTCTGTTTTTTTCAACGTAGCTTAAGTTTGGGATGGTTAATTCTGCTTTTTCAGAAGAACCATGTAAAAAAGAGTATAGAAAGGAAAAGGTCCTCAGGCAGAAATTTGCTAATGGTTCTTTTCCATTTTGCTTTAGGTTGTTTCTTATGAGAGTAATGGACATACCATATCTCAATTTGGAAGGACCAGACTGTAAGTAGCTTCTTTTATTGTAAACTTAGTGCCATTCTGACAAACTTCCTGGAGGAGGAAGTGTGAAGTTTAATAATATATGTCTAAAGCATGGGATAGCAGCATATCTGTCAGCTGTGTTTAGGTTATTGGTGACTTATGAAATTATTTAAATGTGTCTGCTCCCTTTTTCTTTTCTTTAACAAAATAGTAAACCCAGAAATTCTTCAACTTTGACCAGAGAATCAGCATTATAAAAGGGGTTGACAAGAACAAATGAAGTTAATGTTACTAAATGAAAGAGTTTGAAATGAGCAGCTTTATTGTTATTTTGGGTCACTATTCTTATGCACCATGYCACATAAAAAGTGGGATCTTAACACTGTCCCCTCACCCCTGCASCAAGTGCAGGATGCAAATTAATGAATAACAAATGATTCTAAAAACACTGTGGCCACTTTGTTTTTTAACTGATGTGCAGCAGTACCTCTCCTTATCTTCCACCTGAACATCAGAATTCTTTTACCATGTGCGACCTAAAACATTTTTACATTTCAGGTTATTTGAGTTTACAGACCTGGAGCTGTAATTAGTTGATAATACATTTAAAGGAAGAGAGATTTTACTAATGCAAATGTCCTTACTCTCATTGGATGTTTCATTATGAGGGAGAAAACTTTGGATATGTGTTCCTGCAGATGCCTTGACTTAGGAAAATGTGAAGCCCTGGAGGTCAATCTGGTCCTTGAGTAGATGAAAGCTTAATTTTATATTGTGTAGTCAGATACACRATGTCTTGAAAATGATACCTATTTGGAAACAATGCTGATGTGGAGACATTTTCCACTCCTTGCGTCAGAAAGCTCAGACTGGAGTGTGACTCTATCAGATGCCAGTTTAACAGTAGCAGAAAGCAGTCCTAAAGAGATGGAAGAAATGTTGGAGAGGAAAATACATGCTKTAAGGGCATATATTTAATTTTAAATTCAGTTAGGTGGTCAGATCACTGAGCTCTGGCTCTGTGGATCTGTTGGAATGGTAATCTAATTATGTTGCATCTTCCTTCCCAACTGTTTGATACTGAGTGGAAGAATGGGTAAATACTTTGGGTCATTGAAAGAATGCCAAAGCTACTAATTTGTAAAGATGCGACTTCCACTTGCTGGCCAACTTACAGGATTGTTTTGATGCTTTGCCAAGAAAGGTTGCCAAAAGAGAGTCTGCCTCTGAAAGTCTGTCTSTTTTATCTGAAAGCCACTCTGGTAGAGCAGACTGATGCAGATGTCACTGGAGAACCTGAGCCAGGAAGGCTTTCGAAGTGGAAAGCACTTGTAGGGATGGCATGTTGGACTGGCTGTTCTAGAGCCTTTTGTTGCTATTCTGAGATGTAAACACCACTGCAGGTTGCAATGAATGGATGGTCTGTTGCTTGTGGAGTTTTGGTGTTTGACTTGTATAGTGCAAAATAATTCAATTTTAGTCCTCAAAAAATTTGATGTCATTTTTGTTTAGGCACAGATTTAGGGAACAGGATTTCTCCTCTGCTGGTGAAGGGRTTACTTTCCTTAGCTGCTTGTGTCTCTGTCCAGTCTGACTGAGCTCTCAGTGCTCATACACCTGTGATTTATTACTAGAGAGTTTCTGGTACACTCAGGCTAACTGACTGTTCAGGTGAAACAGATTAAAACACTTTGCAATAACAAGTGGTTGATGATCTGATTTTGGACACCTGCCTTGCAAAGCTCCCCAGGTTTAATGCTGAAAGCTAAGGAGATCAGAAACTAGARAAGTTTGTATTCGGGAGGGTAATTCACTAATTTATTCACTGAAAGGAAAAACAGCCTCTGTGTCTCTATACCAAAAGAAGAGAGAAGCTTTTCCTGAGGGTGTTACCAGGTGGTCAGATTAAAATCTGATCCCATCAAGCTGTGTGTAGTTAACCCTTGGGTTACCTGGAACACACTGGAGACCTGCATTGCAAAGTGAAGCACTCGACTGTAATGGTTCAGCCTCCATCATCAAATATAAAATGACACATAAGATTTAGTGATGTGTCATACATAACAAAATAATCTCTGAAGATACTTTGTGGAGAGGCTCAATTAATGATTTGCAAATAGTTTCATAGGAAAATGTAAAATACTTCAGCATCTTTGCAARTGCAAATACAGTTTCCACTCATTTGTTTTTAAGATGTAATAGGAATTCACAGGTTATAAAAGCTCATGTTTGTGGTGAAAGGAATTTCAGGTAGGAGAAGTGTGTGTGGAAGTAAGAGATGTAGTGATAATTTCTGCTGTACTCTAACCTTCTCCAGTAGTTTGATTTGGATTCTCTCTCTCAAATTCACTAAGCTCCAAATGACTTTTAATGTACACTACAGACTTCTTTTGCACTTCTTTAGATGTCAAACTTGATAACCTGTCTTATTTTAATGTAATTTTAATAATAAAAAGTCAGTGTGTATATTCTAGCTTGTACTTAATATTATATGAAAGCTGAGTTAAACATTGTTTCACAGRAAGTTTTTTATTGACAGATAATGGCAAAATTGAGTCATTGCCAAGAATTTTTATAAGATGGAGCATGAAGAGGCTGTTGACTCTTTTCTTCTGTCTTTGAGCTTGGTTTGGTGCACAGGATGGGAAGGACTAAATTTGTGGGCATTTCCCACTGCATGAAATGCAGTTTGAATTTCTCATACAGATGAGCTTGTAGGATTTAGTATGTGTTTCATCTCAAGTGCAGGCACATTCTCACTGTGCCTGATGTAGTTGCATAGATATTGGTTTATTTTCTTATTTAAAAAAGGAAAGGGGGGAAAAAGTGGTACATGACCACATTAGATGGATGGTTTAGGATATTTCAAAGTCACTAGTAGTGACTGATTTTAACAGAAGCATTTTTGTTTTGTAGTGCAGCCAAAACGAGATCATGTTCTTCATGTTTCTTTCCCCAAAGAGTGGAAGACTAGTGACCTATACCAGCTTTTCAGTGCCTTTGGTGAGTGATGTAATCAGTCATTCCTTACCTTTTTTTATTATTAGCAACTACTTCTGGTTTGTTTTGTTATTTTAGTCTGTGGATRCAGACTTTCTCCTAATGTAAGTAATGATGAATCTCTTCTTGTAATTTTTGAATGGTGTCCTGTGGACTTTGTAATGATGAAAATTACAGTTCTTATTAACTGCTCTTTAGAAATCTTTACATGGGGTATCTGTTCAATATTGTGGGACTTTTTTATCCTTTTATTTACAGCCTCTCCTGAAAGGAGGTAGGAAAGGGAATGGGGATTGGTGTAAAAGGCAGATTGAGGCTTTAGGAACAAGGTTCATCCTGCAGTCTGCATAAAGCCAAGCTCCACCATATGTGAGTCTAGGCAAGGAAGCRAGCTTGAAAATAACTAATTTGATTTCAAGATTGTGAACACCATCCAAGTCTGAAGAAATAGCAAAAAAAGGTGTTTGACAACAGAGGACCAGTAGTCCTGTTGTTGCTCTASTAAGTAGAAGTGTAAATGTAGGGACTTGGAGAGCTGAATTAACTGATGGCGGTCTCCTGATCCTTCTCTCTTGTGGCTTGGTACTCTGTGCAGGGACCTGTATGAAACTCCCTCAGTTCCTTCTGACAATTTGATTTTCGCTGCAGCACGAGGCCATGGAGTGGATGTGATTTAATAATCCTGACTGGGAAATATGGAATGTGAGAATGTAGAAATGACGGGGATTCTCCTGGGGTTGCTGTTCCAGCAGAAGGAACATCCATCCATCCATCCATCCATCCCTCTGGCTCTGTTTCCATGGGGTTTTGAACACCCAGCTCCAGTGTTCCCTGTGGGACAGCACGGCCGCCAGGGGGCGCACTTACACACCGCAAACTGCTCCTTTTGGCAATGGCCAATTCTCGCACTTCACATTTTAGAGCTGAATATTTTCATATTTACAAACTCCGGGTTCAGTAACGAATCTATATATTTGTTTATGTCTTATTGCTACGGTATCTCAAACTGTAGCTTGTTCCTCCCCAAATTCTGGAGTACAGAAGTACCCATGCTTTTCCAGTTGTTAGGTGGACAGAGTGGTGCAGCCTGAGGTTGAGACATCTGCCAAAAGCAAAAAATAAGGCAGTAGGAGACATGAATTATCCCAGTTTATTACATCAGTTAAAGACAARTGTTTTGAAATCAGGCAGTATTAATCAAATTTTACAGAAAAGTTGTTTTAGAATGAATTGAAGCAAAGTTGTAATCTTCCATGAAGCTTCTAATGAACACAGTGAAACAGCTGAAGGGGCTGCAGTGTCACACTTGGAACTGGTTTACGTTTGCTACTGTAGAAGGGGTGTTCATGATTCTGAAATCCTTCAGGACTGCCTGCATACCAAGGGGACACCTGTTCATGCAAGATGTTTTTATAGTCTCAGGGGTGAATGTAATTTCACTGTAGAAGTATTTGCAGTACTATGCAGTCTCTTAGAACACTTTAGATTCTTAAATTTGAGTTGTTTATTTGGTCATGCTGATGTGAAATATGAAATCATTAAAATAGGATTTTCTAGAATACAAGTGTATAGCCTTCACTTCTACTTTAATGTCTTTGGGCTTTTAATTAAAACTCATACTATCAATGTACTATAAAAACTACTCCTTAACTACCAGTAAAAGTAGGGTAGGCCATGTATAAGAACAGAGTATTAAAAGGAAAATGTTTCAATGAYGTAATCCACTGGTATAATTTTATTCTATGAATTTAATCTTGTTTGCATGTTTGAGTTTATACGGAGAAYATTTTCAAGTTTATTTTTAGAAAAAAATGCATGTTAATAACACCTTCATGTCATAAGCCAGCAGTGGCATTCTTCAAAGTATTGAAGACTCTTGATGYATTCTAGAAGTGCAGAGAGAGAGGTTTCCTGGTTTCTTTCTCTAGAGCTGGTATTCCATGACATTGCTGTYCATGACTTGTCTGGATTGGCCTTGCAGTGAGCTGGCATGGGGCTCAGGTGATTGCTAAATACTGTTCTGCAGGTGCAGATACATTTGCTTTCCAGAGCTTTATTTGCATTTCACCATACTTTTGAAATGCACAATRTTTACTGAGTGCTTAGCAGTATTGCCAAATGATTTAATTTATTAATCTTATCTCTCCTAAATTCTTTTTTCTTAATAATAATGCAATGTGGCATAGTCTGAAGAGAGCATCTCTTAAGCATGSAGAGTTGCATAAGAGCATTTGTTGYGGTTCACTTCAGATTGTAATTCAGCGTCCTCTATTTAATGGTTGAYTTTCTTTAAATTCTATATTTAAAATATCTGAATTGGAGTATGAAGGCAACATATGTTGGCAGGCATTGAAACCCTTTATTAGCTAAAARTACAAAGTCAGAAGTCATACAGAGTGCAGAAGCCTTTTGCAACAATGAATGAGGAGCTGATACTGAAATGATGTGCCACCAATATGTTGGATTTTTATTAATTTATTTTTATTTGGCACTTACTGGAAATACAGACACTGGAATCCATTTGAATAGTAGGTGAATTCCTTCAGGATATTTTTTTTTGTGTGATCCACTTTCTTATTTTACAGTGAGGACATAATTGCAAGATATTCAGGAGAATTTTTCTTGTTGATCTTTCTTTCAGTTTGTTCAGGTAGATTGAAATTAATCAGCTGTATATAGGAAAGGGACGCTATCTGGATAACCTTTCTGTGTTGCAGAGTTACAAGAGAATATGGTCTCAGCTATCTCAAATGAATGTTTAGAAATTTTGTGATTAGCAGTACAAAAATGGAGAACTTGATACATGAAGACTTTTGGAACAATGACTTGTCAATGCATGTGTAATGACACTTATTTGTGTAATTTCTGTCCTTTAAAGGAGGTCCACTGTCAGGGTCCTACCAAATGCAGTCCAGTTTTGAGTTGCAATCATAAGTCAGCTCGGGCTYTCCTTGTGTTGTGAAATGTTAYTGTCCTGCCAAAAGGATSATCCCCCWAGAGTAAAGACCCTTACCCACAGGCAGCAAAGTTCTGTGTTCTTCAAAGACAGAATTATTAGAAATTGAATTTATATGCCCTAAAAAGTGTTTAAAGAAATKATAACTTCTCACAGTTAATAGCAGCCTTAGCCCTTCAGTACAAGGAGATGTCAGAAACCATACTGAATTAATTATGGTTTTGGCAATGATCAAACTGATTATAAGTTAAACTTCTAAATAGCTGGCTACTCAAATGTATAACATGAGAATAAAATCTATGTAGGCTATTATTTTTTTAYAATTAGAAAATCTGTTTATAATCTGGCTGAATTTCAGAAGAGATTTCTCTAACCTTGTAACCTGTAGACTAAATTAGATTTCAATAGATTAAACAACTGAGAATAAATGAATTTTAAGCCCTTTTGCATCATTGYTTTTAACCTTGTAACGTCTGAAGGTTAAATGGTGGTGTAACATTATATATAACTTGATTTCCTAGTCTACGTGAAAAAAATGGCACCAATTTTCAATATCGGAATTGTACTAGGAGTAAAGCACTTAGATAGGGACAGGAGATRTAAATGGATTTCAGACTACAATAAGACCTTGTGTCTGGAAATGGGAATCCTTTCGTCTACTTTTGCTTGATTATGAGCTCTTTTAGTGCTAATGTGACATTTTAAGCCATTCACATAGAAAATGCACTAACTGCTTGATGAATAGAGGAACTTATTTCCAGTCACTGTTCCATTGTAACAGCTTCCAAATGAGGTCCATGATTYTGTGCATTTGTCCTCATATTGACTCAAATTAAGTTTTTATTGCCCATCCTGGAAATGATGTATAGTGGGATCCAAACAAACCAGTTTAAAGATTTAGTGGCCCAATAGTGGAGTTCTCCTTTCTGTCTACCCCTCTTGACTGGTATTTATGATTACTCAAAGGGCTGTTACTTATTTGAGTAAGGGGCTGAAATCTCTGGAAAATTGCTTCAATTTATTTAGTAGAATCACATAGAGGCCATGAAGCGAGGATGTGAGGGTCTGAGGGTATACAAGATGTCCATGCAGCCCTAACTTTCTGAATAGGTCCAGGTTCATGTGCAACTGGGTATGACCTACACATCTTTACAGTGCACAGAAACTTTCTCARGTGCAGTTACTCTTAGCTGGCTCTCTTATGTCATGGCACATCAGGTAAAAATCTGTGACTGAATCCAAGGTAAAAATAGTCATAATAATTTCTTTTGCTTTTTCTAGGTAAYATTCAGGTTTCGTGGATTGATGACACATCAGCGTTTGTATCGTTGAGCCAGCCAGAGCAAGTACAAATTGGTAAGTGTTGCTGAATTTACTTCAATATTAACACTTTGACTGGCTCCTGCAAAATGCTCTGAGCCAGCAGGATCTGTGATTCTAATGGAAAAAGACAAGCCYATACTGGACTTGCTGGAGAGTTTTGTGTTTTATTCCATGATCCYCCATGTACCTAAACCTGTAGGTAGAGTAGTGCTGGTTTCTTCATTTGCTGCAGTATTTACTGAGGTTATTTGTAACTTYGCACAGAACAGAACTCTCAAAGACTTTTACGATCTTTGCCTCCAAATACCCTTTGGACTGGTACACGTTTAGTTTGGTTTACATTTGGAAGGACAAAATGCAGGGAGAAGCCTTTGCATTGTAGAGCATGTGTGAAAGAATAGTCTCCAAAGAGCTTAGACTGTTAATGTGTCTACAGTCGGTGTATTAACAATGGGCCATCTCTCCAGATCTACATTTTTTAAATTTTTATTTGAACATTTAAAAATATTGCTGTTAGTTATGTGGAAAAGCAGTCTTATTGGTGTGGGGGTGTTTTAGGTTGGGTTTGTTTGTGGCTTGGGGATTTTCTTATGTTCTTTGKGGGCTTCTAACTCTCCTGGCTTCAGTATTTTAAATGGGCTAAAAACTTGTTCATCAGCACCCTGGGAATATGTTGGATTTCTCACGGATTCAAAAATCCATTTTGAATATGTAGGGAATAAAATGTATTGCTTCATCCCCCAGTGCTCTTTAAAACAGAGTTCCTGAGTTAAGTAATATCATGGATGGTAACTAWTAAAACCTAGGCCAAAGATGATTGATAAAACATTGGTCCATAAGATTTTATGAAAAGTAGACATTTGATTAGCTGAATTTAGCTAATAAGCAATTAAGCTTCAAATATCCCATGATAATCAGTAGTGTTTATGTTGCCAGGGAGAATGTGCATTCCAATTTTTTAATTGTTAAAGTGTTACCATGAAGGACCTATGAATCTTTGACTAATATAAAAAGACTTGTTTTCTCTTCCACTTATTTTCGTCTGAAAAACTTAAGTAGGGAAAAGGGCAGTATTTTTATGGGCAATTTTGGAGTTGCTCCTAACTTTCCAACTGAATATGGCCTGCTTAAAACACACAAACCAGAAACCTTGGGAAACAACAATCAAATGCCTTAAACTTCTCATTTTGCTGCTTATAATAACGTCCAAGAACCTTCACTTTATTAAGTTATTCATGTGACTCGCACACTGGCAGTRTCTCTGATTTATTAGGAGTAGAGAAGTCTTGTTCTTGTACAAAATCCTATTGCTGTCTGTAGCTTGAAGTGGAAGCTGCATCAGGACAAATGCTAGGAAAGAGTTGCTGTTCAAAGTAGGTAATTAATAAGAATTTGTTAAATGATTGATACTTCTTTAGTTGGACATCTGGGAGACAAAACTTTCTGTTGCCAAGTTGCACTTCAAAAATGGTCTCAGCATTTCTGTCAAACGTGAAGCACATACTCATTATGTGTGTGGCAAAAGATAAACATTGTGCACTGTTAGAGCTGATGAACCCGAGGAACTCCAGAATGAACTTTTGGCATCCAGCTTCTGGCTCTTGAGATTTTTGTCTTGCTAGATAAGTTTGCCTTTGGATGCTGTTCAGCTTTGTGTATTTATAACGTTGGCTTTTCRTTTGGAGAGGTTAGTATGGAATAAGTGCTGTTTCAATGATTCTATAACTTACAAGGGTCTAGACTTCATCCAAATAGTCTAGAAATGGTGGGGAAAATGGAGGAGACTTCAGCTTGTCTTAACTGTAAAGTAAACCAAGTATTTTATTTTAGTTAATAAATTGGTATAGCCTGAAGTATTTCAGTGTTTCAGCCCCTCAGCTTTTCTGTGCAGTTAACTCTGAGTCCTCAGTTAATGCCTTGTATCAATGTTAAGTTCTTGTTATTCATGGTTTCCTTGAATGTTGTCATCCAGCTTTGACTGTTTAGGTTGCTGGTCTAAAAAGAACCTTGATACCCTCTTAAAGGAGGTTCCTGTAGATGTCTTTGCATTTGTGGAACATTTACAGGCCATCTAAAATGAACTCTTGGAAGTCACTGGTATTAAAAATGATTTAATTTCTAAGACATGGGCAAGTCTTATAAATGTATTTAAAGTTTTGAAGTGCTKGAAAATAAAACTGGGCTTCTGAGACATTTTACATGGTTATATGTTAATGAAAATAAGGGACAAATTTATCAGTGGTGCCTCAAAGATACACTTCATTTCCTCTTAGCAGCCAACACTTGTTCTTAATTCCCTTTACCTGAGCCTTAGGGGCAGTTTAATAACATCATGTTCTGATTATGAATAACTTCTGCAGTTTTTTAAGACCACTGATTCAACTGTAGAGTAATTTTAACCTGAGAATCTTCCTGCAAATGTGTTTCTTGCTGTTTTAAAATGCAATAAATACACTTAACCTGAAATTTTAAACACACGTGAAAAGCAAATGGCAGGCATTGAAGTAATGTTAAGTTATTCCATGTGTTGGTGCTGTGATACTTGAGCTCATATGGAATTTACTGTGTGGAAGATATCTTCTTCCTCTCAGCATTGAGAAGCCTTCAAACAGCAGGGGAGCAATGGACTAAAGCAGGTGCAGCAGCTGAAATCSTGACAGCCTTTCAATGATTTGTGTTTAAATCATTAATCTTTCTGAACTTGTGAGTTTCTCAGACAGGGCTGGACTTTATTAGTGTTCTATAAGGTTTACTATAGAGCCTTCTACTTAGTATGAGTGGTTACCACCACAATTGAAAAATAAAAAAATATTTGGAGATCGTGTGTATATCAGTCCCTTCTCATTGACTTCAGGGAAAGGGCAGGTACTAGATTCTGTATTACCCAGAGTCTGTGAAAAGTTACATTTCACATTACKGTGTTCTCAGCAATAAGTTAATGTGAAATTTCTGCCAGGTCCATTCTGAAAGGAGGTTGGAGCCAGGTGGGGACTGGTCTCTTCTSCCAGGTAACAAGTGATAGGACRTGGGGAAATGGCCTCCAGAAGCACCAGAAGAGGCTCAGGTTGGATAGTAGGGAGAATTTCCTCACTGAAAGGGCTGTCAAACATCAGAACAKGCTGCCCAGAGAAGTCACCATCACTGCAGGTATTGAAAAGATGTGGGACCRGGTGGTTTGGAGCAGAGCACGGGGTTCTCCCATTTGGTACCAAGGTGAAAATTATGTGTCTGGACTGTGTGTCCACACTTCTGTCTGCAAAGTCCTGCAGGTCTGAACTCTCTGTGCTCTGAGCATTAATAGACATGGAGGCTTTCTGACTAGAACGGAAATATTCTGAACACATTAYGCTTTTAATTAGTAGGCTCACAGATCTGAACACTTTACTAACAATCCTGGGAGTTAAWCACATTCTCCAGTGTTTATTTGAAATCACTTCTGTAGTAAATGCAGGGATTGAGGTGTGGTGAGTTTCAGTTTGTGTTGTTCAGGAATCTTGACTGCAGCAGGAAAATGAATTACTGGTTTTACAGTATAACCTGTGAAATAAATCTTATTTAGGGTAGTTATTTTACAACTTCCAGCTTTACTGATGTGGAATTAAGATGACAGGTTATAGACTTGCCTTCAAGGCACCTGGAGCCATGTTTTTTTTTTTCATGAGCTAATAAACAGAACAAAAAAACCCCAAACTGTAAATGCCCTTTGTACCCCATAAGTTGGAATATATTAGGGTTTTTTCTTAATTTAATGTTGGAAGTCTTGTGACTACCTTTTCATTTGATTTGGATTTTTTGAAATGAGTTGAAACAAAAGCTGTGAAATGYATTAATTACTGAGGTATTTAAACAGGGTGCAGAGGTTAAGTAGCTTGAATTCGTTYACTAATTAAACAACTTAATCTGTCATGGAGTTAAAAGTCTTTAATAATAATCTACATAAATGTGCATAGCATGAAGTGTCTCAGTGGACTTATACTATCTCTCTTCTTTGGTGAAGAAATGTTTGAAGTTTAAGTGTTGCATAAGGATCCTTCCTCTTTCTTTGCCATGCTTTGTACTTTGCACTTTATTTTTCTTCTGTGAAACCATTCTCTTTTGGATCACGTGTCCATTTTCCCCTGTTCTCCAACATGGAGGTTCAAAGGCTCATTTTGGTTTGCTCTCTAACTTGCCATCCTCCTTTGCAAAGGGAAGAGCTTCTTTGTCACTGCATTAATTCTGCTTCTTGCTCTGCATTCCGATACCAAGAGAGATGGCAACACTTTTATTTAGAATCTGTACAGGCACCTTCTATCTTAAGCTGATACAGGAGAGGAAAACAAAGGGATGGGCAGCACCAAGTATGAAGTGTTATCAGTTTAGGTACAGCCTGCAGATACTTGCTGTTACCAAATATACCTGAGTCCAGCTAATTAGTCATGCATGTTAACATTTTGATGCYTTGCAGCAGAAATTGTCCAGGTATGCTTGAAAGAACGAAAACTGTGTATAGGCTAACAAAGGGGGCTATTAATATTACAATGACAATTTCACTGATATTTAACATAACATAGTTGAGTTATGCTTATGCCTTGATAATGTCCATGATTACGTGATCATGTACTGTTTCTTTAGGATTTGTGGCTTCTCTGGGATTATGTTTGTAGCATTTGCTGTGGAGGAATTCAGCTCTGAATGTTCTGTAGGGAACAATTTAGTTTCATTTAGGTTAATTTAAAAGATGCCTTCTAATTTGGAATGTTGAGTCTTTACTTCTGCTTTCTGTTTATACAATAGGCACACAGCACTGCTGCTCCCACTACTGAGCTTTATTTTGAAATACCRGACTATTCATGTGCACTTTTGTCATCATGGCAAACTTCTGGATTGTTATCTGTGGCATGAATAGCCCCAGTAGTCAATAAATAAGGCTATGGAACCATACAGTGAGTATTGAGAGTAACACAAAATACTGACTTAGCTACTCACTAATTGCACCCTGTTGCTCTGGCTGAGGCAGGGGTCCCATGTTTTAAGTAGAACATGATCAGATAAGATTAGTGCAGCATCGATAAAGGTCACTCAAAGGTTTCACAGGTGAAATTTTGCTTCAGTATTTCATAAGCTTAAGTGTTTAGTATTGCAGCCTTAATCTGTATAGTTCTGTGTGTTTATTGTATTTATATACTGTGGTTTTGCTTTTACCTGCACAGTTCACCAACATATTTGTCTRTTTATTAAGAGGATTAATATTGTCAGTAGCCATCTGTCAGGATGTTCCTCTGCATAAAAGCAGAGGTGTCTTTGTACACATTCCTCTTGGAGCGCTCAACAAGAGTCAGCCTGTTCAATGTCTTCCCTGATAACAAGGGAAGGTGCCATCCTCTAGAAATGTTTTTCCTAAAATAATGTGCAATTACTGTTATTCTGCTATGAGACAGAAATGAGGGCTGCAATTAATGTGAAATGCAGCCCTGTGGTGTTGGTTACTAGGTCAGGTTTCTCACAGAAAGATTTGTCTCATCTCTTATAATTTGAAGAAATAAGTCAATAGTCACCCTGAGTTCTTTTCTGTGTTTTAGAACTCACAAAGCATTCTAGCAATGCATTTCTTCTCTTGGCAGTGCACAACGATGCAACTGTATTTGCTTTGTTTGGCAGTAAGGGCAGCATTCATCAAAAAAGCATCAGAAAAAATGTATGAGAGTCTGACAGAGAGCTGCTCTTCAGTTCAAGACCATGCACGATTGATTTATCTGCGTGGCTCCTTAGACTTCTCCATATGCCTTCATTTCAGTTGTTCAGTGATGAAGTAGCATATTCAGCATGTAACATTTTATATTAAATGTATATGCTATATATGTATTTACATATGTGTGTATGTGCCAYATGACTGGATTGCTGGAAAATACATGCCTTATTTCAGGAAAGAGCAGTCTTTGTTCAGAAATAACAGATTTATTTTAGGATTATCTTTAGGCCTCAAATGATTTGGTTTGTTTTTTTTTCCCTTAAAAAAGGACTGAGTTTGTCAGGGAATTAAATGGCAGACCCATAACTTTGGTTCGTAGCTTGTAGCAAAACAAATTATGTTATTGTGTTTTAACAAATGAGTATGTATCAGATGATCCATGGTAACTTTGTGCTTGATTTTAGCAAGTAAAAACATGCTTGAGTTTAACTAAACAAATTTTACCCTGAGGAATGTCGGCTGGCATGCAGTAAACTCCAGTGAGCCTTATTAATTCATTCATGATGCCTACACCATAACTTCATGGGCAATAAATATTGTCCTRATTCTTACAAACAGATCCTTACAGGATCCTTCACAGTTCAAAACAAATATAAGGGGCATGAAAGAAAGTATGTGTGACACTTTTTGGTTAGTGCAACAACTTCATGAGGCTGTTAATCATAACTGCTGGTATCTGTTCTTGGGATTAAAATTAAATAGACAACACTCTTGCCTGGTTTTGTGTGCATTACAAAGATACTGCAACAGCAGCATCTATATACCATGGCAGGTATTAGAGAGAACTCATTGCACTGTAACACAGCAAATACACAGAATAGATGATTCATCCTGGAAGAGGAGAAAAAGCCACATCCCCCCATCTTTCCTTGCCKTTTCTGAAATTTGATGGTGGAGCTTGCCATTTCTAGTGCTTGCACAGARGTAGCCCAAAATATCTGTATTTAAGATAAAACAGCTCAGCTAGAATCCAGATATGCAGCTGAAATTGCTCCAAAAAAAYTGGAAGTACAAAATAAAATCAGGATTTTGTCTCTGCTACAAGTGTGGTATTTTAAAATGCAGAAAAACAATCCGAGGTTTGAGGTTTCTTTGTTTTGTTTTGTTTTACATTTAAACTGGTTTACTGGTTGGTTTACAATACTTCCTTTCAGAGAGCTAGGCTGAAAGCAGCAGAAGACACCAGTTGACAGTCACTTTAATTTGCTGATTCATCTGTTACAGGGATGGCATCAGGCCAGAGCTTGGCTCACAGACTAAAGGCTGAGAGCTGTGAAGATGCTGGGACTTGAAGGAATGTTGTTAAATTGTTACTGAGTGGAGGCAGTGAAAGTTTTTTCTTCAGTTTTAAAGTGCTTCTAATTTTGCATTGACAGAAATCTTTCTACCTTGAACTTGCAGCCTTTTTTAGTTAAAGGGAGATCAGACATTAGAATGATACAAGGATGGAACAGCTGGATATTAGTTAAGTGCTTCTTCCATGGATATCTTGTGCAACCAAAAATGCAGCTCAAATAAGCTTATGTTTCACAGCAATCAAACAGAGTTTTGGCAAAGGCTTTGCAAATGTCGTCTTTTCCTGGCAGACTTGCAAAATAAACCTGCTGGGTTAAGTAATGAGACTAAAAGGGAAAAAATCCAGGAAATCTTTCCTTGCCAACAAGCAATCTGGAAGAGGGTTACGACTGAAGAATTGATCGTTTCTAATTTAAAAGAAATGTCTTAAGTAGATTTAACTCTTTTTGCACAAAGTCTGACTTTGAGAAGAACTTTGAGCATCTAATTCAGACATTGTGCCTTTTGGAGACTATGGCATTTTGGGTTTGTTTTGTTTTTTAATTGCTAACAATAGAACGAGAAATTGTTTTATGAGCAGAATAAATAGCTTGCAGCCTTCTGCTTTTCCAAATAAGTTATTTCAGGAGAGGGCATKCTGTCACTTAAGTGTTTTGTACATAACATCATTCTCCTTCTCCATAGCTGTAAACACCAGCCGGTATGCTGAAAGTTATAGGATCCAGACATATGCAGAATATGTGGAGAAAAAACATGAAGAAAAACAGGCCAAGAGAAAATGTACAGAAGATAGTTGGAAGGAGATGGAGAGGAAGAGGTTAAAAACCCAGTGCACACCTTACRTTTCCCAGAGTCGATACTACTGTGTAAACAGGTGAGACATCTGCACTGCCAGCTCGTTTTCTTACATTTCTATTTGAAATCCAGTAATCTTCAGGTAGTTCTTCAGTAATACTGGRCATTTTTCTGTATGTATAATTCTGAGATCTTGAGGGCAGGTCACATCACAGCTTCTGAGCTTGATGCAGCACCACCTTTTCTTATAACCAAAAAAAAGATATTTTTCTTTGTTCATTTGATACTTTTGAATGGTTTGTGTCATGTGGATACTTAGCTGTCATTGTATATCCTTGTAAAAACCATGTTGGAGTTTAGAAGACTTTTCCTGGTAATAACAGTGCCACAAAGAAGGGTATAAATCATATTCTAGAGCAGTCCTGATGAAGCTGTCCTTATGCTTCAGAAATAGGATGGCAGATGATAATACTTGCATGGCTTTAAGTTTTTAGTATAAAACTTAAAAAAGGGTTTCAGTGCATTATTTAATGACAAATTAAGTCAGGACATGCTGCTTTTGATTCTRGTACAGTATGTTTCCTATGTTGCTGTGTGTATTTCTTGTTCCATTTTTACCCTCTGATATTAATGACAGGTTTTGGATATGATGGTAACAGGCAGCTTCTTTCYCAGTCATCTGTGTAGCTGAGCATATGAAAAGTTTTTTACTGTTAATATAATTGTATAATGATCCTGTCGAGTTATTYCCATTCTTCCCCCTCCCTTCTTCTGCACTGTCCCCTCAGTTCTATCAATTCTATATGAAAGTAAGTTTGAGTGGAGTCTGTAAGTTACATTTCTCTAAGCTGGTGTTTTGGTTTGGTTTTGAGGGGTTTTCTCTCTCCTCTTCTTCCCTGYCCCATGGTTAGACAAACCAAATGTGGTGGTCAGAAACCCAGTGCTGARGTCTTTCAGCTTTATCTTTCTTGGCAATGCTGTGTTAAGTTCTATCTTCCTGTAAATGTTAATCTGTCGTGGAACAAATTTGCTAAACTTGTTCTGTTCTTCTCATGGCCTTACCATTTTGCAGGTGTATATTTTGGCAAGCTGTCAGATGTTCATGGCTTTTGTCATGGTGGGAATTCTAAATGTGTTATAGACATGTTTGATTTTAAAAAACATATGGAGGAAGCTGATGATAAAATCCGTATCAAATGRAGTTAGTTTAATTGAACTGTTGTACTCAGGAAGCCYTGGGAGCACATGCTGTGAARAGATGAGGAGCTTTAAGGATTGTCCTGGCACCAGCCTGCGTGTGGCTGAGGCTTAGGTTTGTAACTAAGGCAGTAGACTGTTAAAYAGTCTGAAAATACTTACTGCACCTTGAGTTTGCTGCAGAGAAATACCAAGTCCTAGTTTCACTTCTGCCAGAGGAAGTGTCTGCTCTCAAAGGACATTGGGTTTTGGGTACCTCACAGGTTCCAGTCACATGCTAATGGTGGCAGCTTATGGAGAACAAGAAATGCAGAAAGCTGATTTGCTGTTGTCTTGCAAAGAAGTTTGAGGTCTGCCACAAATGTTTAATTTGGAAAACTGCTGAATGAAATTTTCAGTAAATTCTTTCCTTAAAAGTTTGATATATCCCAATGACTTGTCCCAGCACTTACTCTCCTTAAAAGTTTTTAATATATTTTTTTCATCTAGTGTTGTAAAATTGCACAAGAAGTAGCTTTTTGTTTTTACATGATTGTGAGAGCCTTGAATAGCAGCCTTTATTTTGTTGACAGATCTTCTTCGTAATTGATGTTACATGAATTTTTGTTCTCTTATTGTTCCATTTATACAGTGATTTGGTTCTGTCCCAAATACCCTCTCWTGCAGGTCTTTTGACAKGTTTWTCTTAATTTTATTTTTATTTATTGCTAGTTATATTTTATTTGTCAATTTGTCTTTTGTAAAGACTTCCTCTGAAGTCTAATCTGGTTAGATAGAGCATGGAACTGCAAACTGTGGTCTTTCATTTCACTCAAGATGCCTATTTTCTATTTTTTCCCAGACAAATGTATATAAAAATATTTATGCTTAAAGGTATATAAAATATTTATATTTTAATATTATGTACAACCATTTCAATTTAAAATATAATAACATCATATTTATTTAAGCAATCAGGACAARTACTTATATGTKTGCATGTATATATGTGTRTATTKGTCCAGATTAGTTGAAGTCACATCTAGTTGAGCACTCAGGACTGTGATGTGTCTAGCAGCTGATCCCTTATAATAGCTTCATGTTACTACATCCTTTATTTATTTATTATTTAATAAGCTTGCTGCATCAGCTTCTGCCAAGGAGCACAGCTGCAGAATTGCTGCTTGTCTCCATGATGACAATATGTCCTGGCTACTTTTTCATTCAGTGAGGAAGTTGTTGGGTATTTCTTCTAAGGAACTTTTGTCTTAAACTGACAGATTGATAAATATGTAACAAAGATTCTTTAATTCTTGTCTTGTGGAAAAAAACAGTTCCATATTGTAAAGGAACTTCTCTTCAGAAAATTGAATTAATAGTATTACTAGCAGTCAAAAGGTAAAATTATCTGTCAATAATATATATCCCTTGCATATAACTACTGTTAAATATAAATAAAAATATTTCAATGGAAATATGCCTAATTATTAATGTGAGATGGAGAAGCAGAGGAAAAACTGTTGCATTTGACAAAACCTCAAGTAGTAAATAAGATCCCCTTCTGTAAAGTTGTTGCTATTCAGAACACACTTMGGAAACAGATGGAACTGGCTGTGTTGTGCTTAGCAAATGATTGCCTGCCAGCTCTGCCATGACTGTTACATGCACGGCTTTAAGAGCTTCTCCTTAGCAAAATAGTGTTAATCTGTAGCAGGAAAAGTCAAATAGGCTATGCTCTATGGAAAACTAGGTATCCTGCTCTGTTTGTACTGGCTTTTTCTAATTCTCCTGCTCATCATCTAGGAATAGTTAAATAGAATAAGCCAATGGCGAAAGACTGGTATGAAGCACAGGAAGGTGTTAGATCTTATCATTTCGCCTTACAAGTTTTTTACGCTTGTAAAATATGAGTGCTGCATCTTCTGTCAAGTCAGGATGTTGTTTGTAGTACCACTTCCTTGAATGTCTTCATTTTGCCAAAGATTATCTAATTTTTTTAATGTTCAAGTGTTTCTACTAATGATTCTTTCAGTTTTTTACAGAAATGGTTGCTTATAGTGGTATATTACCTGCTAAAGAATCAGAATTGGCAAGAACTGAGGYATTAAGGGTATGGATAACAAATATTGCAGGCAAATTATTATGGTATTCCTGCATTGTAGGTGATTATTTCAGGTGATTTCACCTGCCTTAAGCTGAAATTACTGATTTTTGTGACGGATCAGTATCTACTCCCACCCCTCAAAGTGGTTTGGAGTGTCAAGAGAACTTAACATTTTTGTGTAAATGAAATTCATTTGAAGTTGTAGGTCTGCATGTATCCAGGCCAGTTCCAAATGCCTTGAAGTGTTTCTTTTAAAACTCAGACATGTTTTTCCAAAACAGAAAAAAAAAAAGTCATAATAATTGTAATCATAATTGTTTCCCTACCTTTTGCYCCCCTCCACTTGYGGATTCTTTSAATTTTATTACTGTAGTACTAGTTGGATTGCTGCTATTTAGTACCTCTTGAAATATATTCTAACTCAYATATGCAACCATACTCATTTACTATTAAGTGCAAAAATAACTTTGCTGTAATCTTGAATCTTATTTTATTTAGATTAAAGAAGAATAAGACATTAAAAGAAAAGAACSCATATTCATCTAGAAGCCATTTAATCAATAAATGAATGTAAAATAAATTAAATATTTCGGGAGAAAGCAAGAAGTCAATGGTTCCTGATTAGAAAATAKGTTTTATTTTGTATTTTGTGCCACTTTTTGGTGGTTGGGATTTTTTTTCCCCTTCAGGTGTCTGCAGAAGGACCATAAGGCCTAAAATAAATTTTTATGTTGTGCTTTGGTACACAGCTAAATGTGCACTGAAGGTCAAGAATTTGTTTCTCTTTATTTGCAATTACTTCACAAGAGTCTTAAGTTGAAAAAAAATGAAATTCAGCCATAAGACCATTGAAGAAGGGATCTTCTTCCTACACTGAGTGCGAGTTCCCCTCTGAGAGCCAAGTSCTCATAATAYGTYWGAAGAAATCCTGGGATGGTAATTTRTGGCTCCTGAGTTTTTTCTTCCTAATGTATTTTTCAGAAYGGCTTTTTCCAAAGTAGAATTCTTACAAGCATTTCTAAACTATATTAAAAAAATATATAGTAGTTTTTAATTTCCTAAATGCTGCTTCTTCCCTAGACATTTTTGCTTTCCAACCCTAGTTTTTGCCTGTTTTGCAATATTGAAGTGTGTATGTAGGATTAACAGTTCTATCCAGCTTTTTGGCTTCCATTTTTTTTATTGGTGGTAGTTGTGGTATGACTCAAAATGATGATTTGTAAGAAATCATGCAAGAAGGCCTTCTGTGTGYGAATGTTTGGAGGAAAAACCAGCTATTCATCAAAGTAAATGGTGTTTGTGCTCCTAAAGTGGAAGTAAGAGCATGAGACGTAATCATATGTTTCATCTTTGTTTATTGCCTTTGGACATCCCAGACAGAGTCTGTTTTAAGTTGCAAAATGTTCAGCTGAAAAAATTCCATTTGAAAGCCAAAACTATACTGCAAAATGTAACAGTTCTTCATTTAGCTGAAACCTTATTGAAACAACATAATTCTCTGCTATTGATTAAAAAGAAAAATATAATTTGTAAAGCTTTGTTTTATAACTTAGTATTAATATTTACTTAAGTCACAGAATATAACATGGCTTAGATGCATATAAGCATGTTGTGTAGTTCTAATTAAAAAGTAAACGTTCGTAAGTCTAGAACTGCCTTTTTTTAAATTGGCTGTTCTAAAAGCATTAAATTAGACATTTAAGTAGCTGGTGTTTACATATCCTGAAGTTCATAATGGGAACTGTTTTTTAATTAGCACCTTTGGTACTGCATTCTTTTTTATATTCATGCTAATTTGATTTTAATATTGTCATTTGTCTTTTAAGGAAATGTAACAATAGCATTGCAGTGGAACACAAGCCTACACAGGGTTATTTCAGTGTGTGCTGAATGAAGTGGAGCTCTGAGTTCATCTTTATCTGTGTTAATCAGATCAGACTTCATTCAAACGCTACTAATGAAATGAGTGTGCAGTTTTTTGGGCTTTTTATTTTACCAGCCCCATGAACAATAGGACTCTTYACTTGAAAGGCAGATTTAAAGTTTATATATGCAGATTGATGGTTCTCTCTACCTTTATATAGAACTGGTTTTAAAACTACCTATAGTTCCAGGAGAGAGGATGAAGTTAACATGTAGAATCCTTCAATATCAAGATGTGTTTTTGTGGCTTCATTTGTGCTTAACTTGGTGTCTACTGACTGCTTTAGAAGAGCTTGCATAACTATGAGAAAAAATGTAAAACTATGCAGGGATAGAGAACTGGTTTAATTACATTTCAGCTGAGTGATCTCATCAGAATAGCAGCTAAGTCTGAGACATCAATAGTACAAAAAATTGCTCTTCATAAGATTGGATTAGATTTCCAGTTTCTGGAATTTTGTAGTTAAATCATATCTTCCAGATAATATAATTTAATGGTACACCACTTTGGACAGTTTATTTTTCTACCTTCATAAGCATTTAACAGATGTACAACAAGGCATWCCTATGTAGTAGTTACTCTTTCATACTCATCTTCTTCTGTATTCCAGTTTTACAGGCACCAGTACAGTGGGAAAGAGGAGCATGAGTCCTATTGAGGAAGAAACTGGTTCTGATGATATGGAGGAGGGAGAAGGGCAAGATCCAGAAAACGATCAGACAGACTCCTGTGTAGAGTCCCTTTCAGATGGTAAGAAGAGAGCCAAAAAGTTGAAAAAGATGAAGACAGAACAAGCTCCAGCAGGTAAGTGCAGTGYTCATGCACACGGTTTTCTCTTCTGTTTGAAAGTGTCTTAGGCCTGAACAGAACTAAAATAGTTTTCTTGAAAGTCTTCACTTCCAGCACTAACTCACTCCATTACATTCAAAGTTCTTGAAACTGAAGACTGCATCAAACAAAAATTGCAAAAAACTCAACAGAAAAACCCAAACCAACATGAAAGCAAAGAATTYACCAAAACCAAAAAATGCACAACCAACCAAAACCCTATCTCTCACCAACCAAAGGACTCACAGTGTAGCTGATTTATTACTTTTGCTTATTTTCTCCCTTAAAATAAAGCTTTAAAATTTTTTTTAGCTGTTCTTAATATTTTTAAAATGTGACTTCATGGCTAAAGTTACGCAGTGTGTTTTGCGTATCATAAGCAAAATTGAAGGTACTCTGTTTTGATGCATGCCTTAGTATATGTTCTGTGTGGTGTTTGTAACCATAACCTTTATTTTGCTTTATTTGGTTGAAAACTTTTCACCTAGGGTTGATGTAAAGGTGGGTACTTTCAGATTTTAATACCTATGKTTTTTTTAGCCAAAATACTTGGGACTGAATGTCTGACTAAATGCAGGCAGGTTACAATCAGATGATGATGATGTTTTCACCTGTTAATTTTTCCTTTGTTTTAGGAGTTATTGGAGCTTGTACAAAAAAAAAAAAAGAAATAACTAACCAAAGGCCACATGGATTTAAACATCAAAAGATTTTATTTTTATTGATCTATTTATTGTTGATTGTATTTCAACTTTTGTTAGTAATTTCTTGCAGAAATTGGACTATAACAAAAATTAAATCTTATCTTAATTTGGTCCAGATGACCATACCATATTAGTCATCTGGACCACTGCCTGCATTGAAGTAAATTCAAATATTCATAATTAAAGCTTCATTTCMGTATGCACTAGCAGCTTTCATCCAGAAAGGGGTATTGTATACCAAGCATCTTTTTTCCTGATTTGGTAGAATAAAATCTTTCTTAGCTGATTCAAAAGCTGTGCTTGGAAATTGTTTTCTTCTTGTTATTCAGTAGGGCAGCTGGGGCATGTAAGCATATGCAAAATGACAAGAGTGTCTACTGTAATTCCAAGTATAAAGATCAGGCTCTGTATCTGSCAGTATGGAAATATGTGTTATCGATATTTGTGTGATTCATCTTTATTCTCCAATTAATTTGGGCTGGAAATATTTTTCACTGTCTTAACTGCGTTAAACATTAAATAAAAATAACAACAAARTACACTTGGGAAAATAGTACTTTTTAACTTTATCATTCCAGTAATTGCAAAACCACAGTTACCTAATTACCGGGATTAAAAATACAGTATTTGCCATTTATGTAAGAAACCTCAAATTAAACTTTATTTTTTCTATTTTTTTTTCTTTTAAGTGTCTAYTCATAAACAGTCTCTTGGTTTGTCTTTGTAAATATTGACTTGCCAGTAATGTATCTAGAACCACCCTCTACAGGAAAACATGTTTTAATATCCTCTGAAAGAACAAAAAAAAAATCTTGATTTAATTCTTGTTCCATGATTCTGTCTTTCAGGAAGCCTCACAACTGGTTCCACTGGAATTTTTGAGGTCCCTGAAACATGGTAGGAAACAACTGCCTTAAGAAGTGGAATTGATTGAAAGCAGTTGAGAGAATACACCTCTTGGAAGCCATACTTTATTTAAATAAAGTGGTGTTAACAAAGCAGTATGTGTCCTGAAAATCAGTTTAATTATTTTAAACTGTTTCTWGAACAATCACTGTCAATTTTACTCGTGTGTATATCACCTAGTATATGACTCGTCGTTGATCCTGTGAAATCCTTGCTGTTGTAACTGCTGTTAGGTTTAAGAAGCAAGACTCAATGTCCTTTGGTCACCTCCTTTGGCATGCTGCCTATGAACTGTGCAACAAGAACTGGCACTCTGTGACTTTATGCTAGACTGTTTCCTCTGCTTGGTGAGTTACCACAGCTCTCCATATTTAGCTGTTTTTTCAGGCAGCAACAGCGTGCTGTCAGCGTTCTGGAAACAGGTAGAACTGCAGTTTCACATACTGCTTTCTACCAGTTACTTTATCTGGGAACATTTTTTTGAGTTTGTTCTCTATCCCCCACCCTCTGTGCAGGTGGTATTCATTTAAATACCAGCTTTACACATAACTTACCCTTTMAAAAAACTGTAACTTAGAAGTTTCTCAAACATTAATTTCCTGGTGGGAGGTAGTTTTTCTTTGTATTCACATCTGTTGTTGTTTCCACTTTTAAGTCCTGATTTTGTAAAAAATGTTTTTTGGTACCTGTGATAAACCTGCTAACTGCACCAGCCCTTTATTTGTTTAAAAAAGGATCTGCATTGGTAGATTTSAGAAAATGTTTGATATTTAAATTTTTGTATCATGGAAATAAAACCAAAATATGTATTTCCATAACMTGAAAATTAAAGACATTTTCTTAGGAACTGGTTTGTTTTTATTTATTAGTATCTGAAATGGGTTTAGTGAATTTTTTYCCCTTCTTCCTAATATAACAATTTTTTGTCATTCTGCAAGCAGCAGACCCTTCTGATCTGTGGACTGTTTTCTAGATATTTGTGAAATGTAACCAAGAAAAGCAAGCCTATTGTCATAAGATTTAAATCATTTTGTGTTTCACTTGGAGGGGTGAAAATAAAAAAGAGTTCTACAAATCAGCAAGTTCAAAACCATTGCTGTGAAAGAGTGGAATATCATACTGTATTTATGCTAGAATGGGAACCACTGTCATTTAAACATGAAATAACCTGTTTGAAGGTACGTAAAAATTCATGGGTTTTTAAATGTTTGTGGGCTTGCATTGCAAAGGGAAAAATAATTTCAAGATGTTAAATGTGAAATGTTGCATTTCTAACCTTAGAATACTCCCRGAAGTACTATAATTAAATTGTTTAATAGCAGCTCTATCGTCACATTCTCACATTAAAATGTGGGAAAGAACACTTGCTATTAGTGATGCAAGGGAAAATTAGTAACTGAACTCTTCTGCTCTCAAGGTCCAGAGGCTTTTCTTCCTGAAGACTCATGACCTTAGGACTAAATACTTAAATCAYTTTCATCTTGAGTATCCAAACAAATCGTAAATTTGGTTCTCAGAATATATACGACACCTAATAAAAGTTGTATAGAGTACTCATCTTTCATGGAGGTGATTCGGGTATATCACGCGATGTTCTGTCCAAATGTTGGGCTGTGTTATTAACTGCATATCCTCCAGAACAGGCATAATATGACTTGGGACAGAGTGTAAGTCATGATGACAWAAGGATACAGAAGCATTTAATGGGATTGTCAAAGTACAGGTWAAGAGGCAAGGAATTAACTGCTCAAAAGACACAGAGGGCCACAGTGTCACAAAGAATCCAGCTGGAGTCTATACCCTGAGGCCATTAGGATCTTCTTCACTCTTAAATTGCAATGCTTACACACCTGCCTGGAAAATGTAAGTCTTAATTGCATTACAATACAATCCCTTAAAATGTGTTACTTCGGATTAGGCTATGTATAAACTTCACTACAAAGGTTAACAGCTCTACCTCCTCTTTCTACCCACCTCCTCTCAACTGTTTTGAGAAGCTGGAGGTTGTTGAACTCTCACTAATTCATACTGCTTAATAAAACAGGGCTTTTGCATAGCCTAGTCCTTATATGTGTTTGATTTTACCAGCTGACACCTGGGGAAGCTACTCACCTGTGCTGGATGGGGCTATAATATTTCGAACACTAAATTTTGGGTGGACGAGTGTCAGAGGTCAGGGACAAGGGTGTCCTAAGCCTGGCCCCATTGATCCCACACGAGACCTGGCTGTTGTGTGGGGTTTGGTCTGCTTCCCTGTGCCTTAAATGAAATCATTAATTCTAGGAGGGAAAGAATGTAGCTTAAATTAGATCCACATTTATTTCATAATGTATGTTTAAAATATGTGCGTAGAATTTGTTTTGGGAAAGCAAAGCTGTCATCACTGGTTGTGATGGCTCTGGGGTTCCGGCGCGCTGGGGGTTTATGTGCTGTTGCTGACTCCAGAGGTCATTGGATCACAGAAYATCGTGAGGATCGTCCAGTTCTGCTCCAAGCCCTGCAGCGGACAGCCCCGGAGTCCCCCTGTGTGTCTGGGAGCGTTGTCCCGGCGCTTCTCGCCCTCGGCTGCTCCGCTCCCTTCCCGTTCCCCTCAGGGCCGGSCGGGCGCGGCCGCYGCACTCCCCTCCCCGCGGGCYRTGAGGGGCCGYGGGCTGAAGCCGYCCTGAGGGGCTGTGCTTGTGCCTTCCGACTGTGAAGGAGCCGGCTATGCCTTGCCCTCGCTAGCGCTGACGTGGAACATTTTCCTCGGCACCCGTGCAGCGGCTTTGTTGTGGCGGTGGGTCCCCTGTGTCCCTGCTGGGGTGAGGGCAGGAGCGGCCAGCCCTCACCGCTCGCTCTGAGGGGACGGAGCTGAGGGGAAGCTGAGGAGCGTGTAGGAAGCACCAAGCAAYAATATATAGAAGAGCTGGAAGTAGGCGTTGAAGGAAGTGAAGAATTTCCTTGGGAAAATGAGAGAATTTTGTGAGAAGTGTTAAAAAATAAAAAAGAGCACTTGGGAGTGTAGGCCTGAACATGGGAGTATATGGCAAAATAGTGTGGAGAAACATGAGGGAGGTCTGGCTCAGCAGCAAATGAGGTAGRTGAGCTGAAACCCTGCCACTGCAGAGGAACAAGAATGGGCTTATTTGGCTGGAATTTATACTTGACAGTGATCATTTATCTGTGGTGATGGAGTGCTTCATTGCTCACCTTAGAAAGCACATTGAAATGGTATTTGAAATAATAAAGATGAATTTTCAAATTCATCTCAAGTATTTATGCGTGAGAAGTGTTAACACGTGAAAATGCACAGGATTCCAGCATAGGATATAGGAAGTTGCTAGTAACAGAGAAATAGAGATTAAGATAATTGTGTGGTATCGACTAAGAGAAGAGTGTGAGTGTCCCTAAGGATTTGAATGGGTGCAGGTAAGAAGCGGAATGAATCCCGTGAGAAATTAGGATTGCTGTGAGTGCAACAGCCTGTTCTTGGTCTCAGATTTGAGCTTATGGTTTGGAGCAAAAAGCTGAAAGCTTCGTATGATTTAGATGGAGAACTATATTTTATTATGGAACCAGTGGTAAAACCAAGGGAGAGATCGCTAGARCTTCTGGTGATTGTGGGAAAAAGTAAATGTTGTAATTCGTTCTTTCTTTAAACTCTTGAGTTCTGTCATGGTGCCCAGAAAACGTCTGGTACCCTGGATGTGTTCACTGTCTTTAAATTATAGTGAACGTAATGTAGACAAAAATGTTCTCTACAATTCAGTGTCGGAGCATAAAGAACACTCCTGACAATCAAATGTTCTTGGCTTCTGATGTGTTTAAACTACTGCCAGCTGAGCAGATGTGTAAATTGAAGAAGATTCCTCAAGTTACTACACAGTACATTTAGTAAATGAATAAATATTTGCTTGTTTGTATTGTACTGTTGTGGCTTTAAACTTAACAGTAAAATAAYACACCATTTGTGCTTTACAGAAATACTGCCACATGTTCATTGGATGGGGAGCAATAGTTGGTGGGTTAGACTGAGGTTTATAGGGTCAGTGAATTCACAGTTAGGATGTTCTTTTTGCTTTAATAGGTATGCAGGAAGCTAATTTTAAAAATATTATTTTTCCATYAGAATAATTATTGGCAGCCATGTGCTTCCATGAGTGCTATAGCAGATCACACGTCAGTCCCAGCTTGAAGGCAAATTCGTATGGAACACATCTATTCATAAATGCAGTATAGAAAACATTGAGCCAAACTGGGAAAAGTTAGGTTGCCTTGCACTTACGTTAATTTATTTAAAAGACTAATGGTTGTATTTTTACCTGAGCAGTCTATAGTCCGCAAGTTTTGCAAACAATGTTGTGGTTTATYACCAGTGTGACCTTGTATGATGGCATTGGTAGTGGTGTGCGACTGAACATGAAAGTCTGGAGGTTGTGGCTGTGCTGAGCCACTTGAATCCTAACCTGTGATCTGTTTTCAAAGCATCAAGTGACTGAAAATACCATTGTGTTAAAGCTGATTGCMTCCAAAAAAGCTTTTGAAGTTACCAGCTCCTTATATACACCTCAGAAAGCTTTGCACTGTTACTGAGGTAAGAATGGCTATTTGGTTTAATTCTAAATATGTATTTGACCTTTTACTTAAAATATTTCTTTCAAATGGGATTTTAAACTTAAAATGTTCAAGGATTACTGAACATGTTTACTTCATGTATATACTCGGGCAGGGTTTATTTATTTGGTTTGTTTTTTTTTTAAATTAGATGTTAGATGACTTAATTGTAGGGTGCTTTTTACTTCAAAAATGCATCTGCTTAAGCATATGTATGTGTCAGCCATTTAAAATCTTTGCATTAGGGGAAGTTACTTGCCTCATTTGCAATAAATAACTGATACATATTTTCTAACAATACCACAGTAATTTAAAATTGGCCCTCAGTTCTGTTTGAAGAAGGTCTACACTTCAGCCTTTCTTTTCAATTCTCTCATATGCTCGATTTAATTCCAGTTATCCTATTTTTGATGTGCTGTTGAGAAGTTGCCAGTTACCATTAGAAACTTCTTACTACAATGGTGTAGAACTTCTGAAAATAGAAATAATAGTTTGGTTGTTTGGTCCTGTGCTGAGAATGTTGTCTTCAATGAATAATGCAGTGTTGCAAAGAGAGAATTTACCAGAGAAWTTCACCTCACTATTACTGGACTCCCTCAACCGTAGACTAATAGCCCTTTCTSCTGGGTTGTGCCATACTCCCCTGGGGTTTTACAGTAATTGTTACTAAAACAGATTAAAGARTGGTGGTACTAAGTGATGAGTCTGTGAAGAAGTTAATGGCATGTGTTTATACTGGCAGATTTTAGGAGGTAAATGAGGTGTTGCTTAAAATGTTTRATATTCCATTCTCTTAGAACAGATCACTGTATTTTTAGTATGTCTGTCAGGTTTCTTAGTTGAAGTAAATTCTTCTGTCTCTTAGAGGGTGCAGCTCTGAGGTATTCTGAAGTGTTTATAACACCTTAATAATAATTTGTAACGGGCATTTGCAATGATGCGCAGAAGAATTCTTGAGACACATGCCTTTGGTTTTAATAATGTACAAGAACCGGAATTTAACAGCTAATTGTTCATCTAATTCATGTCTAACGTGAAATTTGGGTTGAGGATGTGTCTGAAGTCGAATGGAGATTCAGTAGCAGAATCACTTGTTTAATACCTTTTAGCCTTTTTATGCCTTCTCTTTGCTTCTTGAAGAAGGAGATAGAAGAATTAGATTAAATAAAAATGAAATATGAAAGTATTTTAGGCTGACAATTTTAACAAATGCCTCTTCTTACAACTA